TCAGTCAGCATCAGTCTTATGTGAGTTTTTAATGATTTTAATATTCGCTTCTGCTGCCAATAAATTGCCCTGAGAACTTATAATGAATTGAACTTGAACTTGACATAGACATGGTTACTTCTGAAAGGCACCAGTGTTGCCAGATTGGCCAGTTTCCCAGGGATTTTTGGCAGGTGGACAATGTTTGGGTTGTTTTTTCATGAATTTAGCTGGATTTATAAAAATGTCTGAGTAAAAGTAATGAACTGCATTAATAACACAGCTGAAATTTGAATAGGCCTAACATTCAGATTACAAAACCTACAAATGATCAAAAAACAAATACTCGATATAAGACGTATGAAATACTAAAGATTTCTCAATATTAAAGTACACTTGGCATTACTGACTACATAGCTCTGCTAAAAGTCGGAAAATTTGTAATGGACATGTTTAAAGTATAGGGCGGCACGGTGGCGCAGTGGGTAGCGCTGTCGCCTCACAGCAAGTATGGCCTGGGTTCGATTCCCGGCCGGGCGACCAGGGTCGTTTCTGTGTGGAGTTTGCCTGTTCTCCCCGTGTCTGCGTGGGTTTCCTCCCACAGTCCAAAGACATGCAGTCAGGCTGATTGGACATGCTAAACTGCCCCTAGGTGTGAATGTGTATGTCTGTCTGTCTGCCCTGCGATGGACTGGCGACCTGTCCAGGGTGTATCCTGCCTTCCGCCCAATGACAGCTGGGATAGGCTCCAGCACCCCACCGCGACCCAGAAGGATCTAGATGATGGATGGATGTTTAAAGTATTCTATAAAGGTAAGTTCAAGTAATAGGTTTCTTAGCTGCCTGTATTAATATTGTGTTTACTTGCCTCTGATTGTATTAGCGGTCCCCACATCGCGGGCGCTGTTATTACCGGTCGCCACGTCGCGGGCGCTTTTATTACAGGTCGCCACGTCGCGGGCGCTGTTATTAGCGGACCCCACGTCGCGGGCGCTTTTATTAGAGGTCCCCACGTCGCGGGCGCTTTTATTAGAGGTCCCCACATCGCGGGCGCTTTTATTAACGGTCGCCACGTCGCGGGCGCTGTTATTACCGGTCGCCACATCGCGGGCGCTGTGACTAGAGGTCGCCACATCGCGGGCGCTGTTATTAGCGGTCGCCACATCGCGGGCGCTTTTATTCCCGGTCCCCACGTCGCGGGCGCTGTTATTAGAGGTCCCCACATCGCGGGCGCTGTAATTAGAGGTCCCCACGTCGCGGGCGCTGTTATTAGCGGTCGCCACGTCCTGGACGCTTTTATTAGCGGTCCCCACGTCGCGGACGCTTTTATTAGCGGTCCCCACGTCGCGGGCGCTGTTATTAGAGGTCGCCATATCGCGGGCGCTTTTATTAGAGGTCCCCACGTCGCGGGCGCTGTTATTAGAGGTCGCCACATCGCGGGCGCTTTTATTAGAGGTCGCCACGTCGCGGGCGCTGTTGTTAGCGGTCGCCACATCGCGGACGCGTTTATTAGCGGTCGCCACATCGCGGGCGCTTTTATTAGCGGTCGCCACATCGCGGACGCGTTTATTAGCGGTCCCCACATCGCGGACGCGTTTATTAGCGGTCGCCACATCGCGGGCGCTTTTATTAGAGGTCCCCACATCGCGGGCGCTTTTATTACAGGTCGCCACGTCGCGGGCGCTGTTATTAGCGGTCCCCACGTCGCGGGCGCTGTTATTAGCGGTCCCCACGTCGCGGGCGCTTTTATTAGAGGTCGCCACATCGCGGGCGCTTTTATTAGAGGTCCCCACGTCGCGGGCGCTTTTATTAACGGTCGCCACGTCGCGGGCGCTGTTATTACCGGTCGCCACATCGCGGGCGCTTTTATCACCGGTCGCCACGTCGCGGGCGCTGTTATTAGAGGTCGCCACATCGCAGGCGCTGTTATTAGAGGTCCCCACGTCGCGGGCGCTTTTATTACCGGTCGCCACATCGCGGGCGCTGTGACTAGAGGTCGCCACATCGCGGGCGCTGTTATTAGCGGTCGCCACATCGCGGGCGCTGTTATTAGAGGTCCCCACGTCGCGGGCGCTGTTATTAGCGGTCGCCACGTCGTGGACGCTTTTATTAGCGGTCCCCACGTCGCGGACGCTTTTATTAGCGGTCCCCACGTCGCGGGCGCTGTTATTAGAGGTCGCCACATCGCGGGCGCTTTTATTAGAGGTCCCCACGTCGCGGGCGCTGTTATTAGAGGTCCCCACGTCGCGGGCGCTTTTATTAGAGGTCGCCACATCGCGGGCGCGTTTATTAGCGGTCGCCACATCGCGGGCGCGTTTATTAGCGGTCCCCACATCGCGGACGCGTTTATTAGCGGTCGCCACATCGCGGGCGCTTTTATTCGCGGTCGCCACATTTTTTGTTTTTTTGGGTTTTGTACTAAGAATATTTAGAAATGTGGCGATTTAAATTTACTTCGTCCTGTGCTGGTTGTTCGTTGATGGGAGGATTTTAAATTTTTTTTCTGATCTTTTCCATCGTTTCAGTTGACTCCTCAGTGAATTATCCAGCCCTTTATTATTTTTATGTTTTGAAGCGCTTCTGCTTTGTTCAGGCACATTTGTTCTGTGCCGATCACAGAACAGCTCTGCCGCCTGAGAAGGTCAGTCGATTGATGTTGGGGGGACCAAAGTCAGAAGCCCCATTCTTAAAAGGCTGAGACTGAGTTAGAGATTTCAAGGCATGAAAAAATACACCATACCTGTTAAAAGACATCGTAAAGAAATGTCGAATTAGTGTTATAGTTCTCAAACATTCATTTAATATTTAAATGGTACATATTAACTATAAACAATTGTATTGAGTTATTGTCAAATGAATAAATCCAAAGATATGGATAAGAAAAAAGTAAAAAAAAAAAAAGAAACTAAAAAAAATACTCACAGATAGAATTAACATGATGTAATTCAAGTGTTCTTTATTTGACACTAATAAACATAATTTAATACAAGTGTCAAATACTTTGTAAACATTATTTGTCTTAATAATGTTGATGTTTATGGTTTATTAATGTTAATAAATGTAGTAATTAATTTATCAAATCATTACCAGAACAGTTACAGCAAAAGAAGAAAGAAAGTAGGAAAGGAAATGCAAAAAACTTGAACTCTTATTTATAAGACAGGGACCGCAAACATCTAGACGATGAAATGTTCATTACACAATTAAATATTTAATGTTGTAATTTCTACAATAAAACTGAATTGCTTTCCCAATTATTTCCATACACATTTTAAACTTTTTTATTATTTACATACAAAATACCCATAGATTTGCAATAAACCTACAAAACAGAATATCAATATAATGATTAATTATCTTTTCCTGTCAAGTTTCACTAAATGTGTGGTCTAGTTCAGCACCTTAAATAGAGTGTGAGTGTTAAACAGAAGCAGATCAGCCAATCAGGGAGCTACAGCAATATAAAGATTAGTCTCCCATAAGGAGAAAATATATATATTTCAAATATATTTATAAAATATATTTTTGCAAAACATGAAAATGGCCAAAAATGTATTTCTTAAATATATATATTTAAAATTTGCATTAGACGAAGTATTTTCGCAATTTTCATACATTTTCCAATGTACTTCATAAATACATTTACATATGTGTATTTCTCTATAGTACCTTTCTTTGTGTAATATTTCCCCATAAATTTTAACATCATATATTTTAAGTGCATTTTAAAATATATTTACTAATATTATTAACATGGCAAAATATTCTGTGTTTGGAAAGTATTTGGCGAGGATTGCAATTTATTTGAAATGTAAATGTAAATTTTAAAAGCGGCGGTGAAATGAGCGTCGCTAATAAAAGTGGCCACGATGTGGCAGCTCAGTGGCAGCCGCGACCTGACGCTTCCTCCCGTCACCTGGCACGCAGAGATCCAACTCCTACTGCCTGCGATTCTCCTTCAACAACACAGTTTCCTGCTCAGCCGTTTCAGCCGGTTCTTATACTAATAACAGGCTGGTGCTGATGTGCAGGAGAGACAGGGAGACTGAGTGTTTCTTTATGGGTGAATCGATATGAAAGTAGAACTCCACCAACTCACCGCCCCTCATTTAACACGAGGAGGCGCTGCTTCACTCTGCAGAGCCTTCGGCCACAATACTGCGACCTTTCCTGGAATTAATGCCACTTTAATGTCGTAATTCTACGACTTTCTTTCTCGAAATATTACGACTTTTTCTTCTCAAAACATTACTTTTTTTAATTTTACGTCTTTTTTAATTTTAGACTTTTTTTCTCGAAATAATAAGACTTTTTTTCAAAATATTACGACATTATTCTCGAAATATCATACAGTACGATTTTTTTTTTCAAAATATTACGACTTTGTTCTCGAAGTCTACTCTTTTTATTTTTTATCAACAGAGGCCCTAAAACGTCGTACGTTTCATCGTCCTACGTTTCACCTGAGATGCACTCCATTCCCCAAAATGCACTGCAACACAACGTGCGTTCTGACCCTTTCCCCCCCAACAACAGTCTATGGGCCGGTGATTACACCAAACAGAGAGTTTAAAAAACTACCTAAAACTATTTTTTTTATTTAGAATTATTTTTGAATAAGTATTCATTGGGTACTTTGCTGTAGCAAGTTTATCATATCTTGAATAAACAATGCCCCACTGGGCAAAATGGTAAGTAAAAATTAAATAAAAACACAGCTGGGCCACAGATGTGCTGAGCTTTTATTATATTTAGTGGTTGAGTTTGACACGCCTGGTGTAGGGCATAGAGAATATGGTGTAGGGTGTAGGGTGTAGGGCGTAGGTTGTAGGGTGTAGGGTGTAGGCAGGATCACTGAAAACTGAGCGCGCCCAGCGCCGAGATCCACTCAAACGAAACTGAAAGACAGAAAGACAGCAGAGAAAGAGGGACCAAAGCTCACTTTACCTTCAGCAGAGAAGAGTTTTGTGGTAGAGTCCGGTAAGTTTATAACGGTTTGTCCGTCTCTGTGTCGCTACAGGCCTGTTTTTGGTAAAACTGTCCCACGTTTGGGTCGTTTTTAAACGGACGGACTGAGATCCACTGAAGAAGCGGTTTTTGGCGGGAAACAGAAACAGCGGGAATAAATCGGGCGCGCGCAGCTTTAGAGGTTTACCACAGGCAGGTTAGTGCTGCGCACTTCAGTCATATAATTTAACGGTATTTCTACTGAATTAGTGAACATAAACTCCCTATTTATTAACACAAATATAGCAGATTTAGCTTTCATTGGGCTTCCTCGTCCACACGCTGCCCATTGTGGCTACCGGAGATATTCTTGGTTTGTTTGTGTTGTCATGTAATCAAATATTAGCTATTGCTAACGCTAGGTGAAGTAAGACGTTTTAACTAACGTTAGTTAATCACTGAATATCAATTTTAATGTATTTTAAGGTCTTGTTGAGGTTGGCATTGTGAAATAATGTAACTGTATGTGGTCAAAATAACAAACTGGTCGAAAATAGCTAAGCTACGCTATTTTGGTGGGCCTTTGACCTCTGTGCTGTTAGTGTCAAAGATTAATAAGGCTTAAATTTGGAGCAATTTGCAGAGTATATTGAGGTTTTTAGTCATTTTTCAGTTTTGTTATGCAATTCTATCTTAGTGAACATGTTATGCTGTACTGCCTTCAGGTCCTCCTCAGAAGTTTCTACTTAGCTTAGCTACGACACCGGAGGTCGTAAGTACGACTTGATTTGTGTTCAAGTGGTTGTGGTTGAAAGTAAGATAGATACACTGGAAATAATGGTTTTGGTTTACTCTTGCTTTTCTATCATTAAAGAGTGTGTATTTTGCGTTACTGCAACAAACCGAAGAGCAGAGGATACTTATGAGCAGACCAATGTTTATTATGCAGTTATGTATCACAGAACGTGCTTATATCTGTATTTCCATGTGTGGATGGTTTCAGCCTGCAGTGTTAATGTTGAGGCTGATGAAGAACTGAAATACAGCCAGTTTATCAGCAGCTATCATTGCTTTTTTGTTGACACGCCACCAACTCGGAAACTTGGGGCTCACTGAAAAATCAGAGTTCCCCACTAGTAAATAGGACATTGAGGTGGGCATTCATCTGGTCAATCCAATATTTTTGACAGGACTTGGAGGCAGCATTATGCTAGTGTACATTAAAAGGGAATTTCATTGATTTTTAAGAAAATCTGTATCACTTAAATGGTTAAGATGTTAACACAGTCATTCAGAGTCAGAAGAATGTAATACTTTCTGAAGTGCACATTTGAATCAAGTAAATTCAAAACAACATTTTTTCAACATACATCTGACCCTTAGTGTTTAAAGGGGGATTCCACCAATTGTTCAAAATTTCTGAATAATTCGGTGAGAGGTGAACCAAGTCTTTCAGAGTGGTTTGGTTCAGATTTGGTTCAGATTTCTTTACAGTGGTGGTGATAGGAACCAGGGGTTGCCATGACTACAACACAAATATAGACATTTTATTTACTATCCAAAACCACCAGTGAACCTACACGAGTCTTCTGAGCTTATATGGAATGTTGATGATGGTAAGAGTCATTTGGGGACTATTTTGCCTTAGAACACCCCAGCAGCATATTCATAATCATTTCTGTAACTGAGCTTTCAGAGGTTTTAAACTCTTCAGATGTCTGGTTTCTATCACCACCACTCGCTATAAAAAAAGAACAAAAATGGGTTAAGTTGAATTAAAAATAGTACGTTAATGAATGTAAAACACAAATTATTCATTTGTCAACTTAGTATTTCAAGTCCTATGAAGTTAACCTGGTTACCTTTTAAGTTAAAGTGCTGCATTTGTTTTACAGTTCTGTGAACAGTTCTGACTCTAGAACAGAGCATTTCACACCAAACCACTCTGAATAACTTTGTGTACATCTCAACCATTTAATTATGTAGAGTTTTTGAAAAATAGGTGGAGTTCCCCTTTAAGTCTTCTTCTTTCATTTTGTGCTTTTACAAGCACTGTATTTTTTTGTTTGTTTGTTTCAGACCATGTTTTTATGACCACTGACCATGAGTGTCAACGGAGAGAGTGTGGAAGAGGGAACCTGCCTCTCTGGAGAGAATGACGAGGGTGGTGCTGTTCACTCGGAGACCAAGAGAGCAGCATCTCCTGTTCCTAGCTGTGCATCCATGAAGAGTGACCACTCCATATATGAGCCTCCAGCTTTTAATGATGGAGCAAAACGCTCAAGGTAAGATGTTAGAAGGTTCAGAGATCCTTGGTACTGTGCACACAGAGATGAGGACAGTTTTTCAATTTTTATGCGTCTTGTCAGGTTGAAGACACAAAGAAATGCATCACCAGTAACTAGTTGTGTGTCCATGAAGAGTGACCACTCCATGTTTGAGCCTCCTGCTTTCAGTGTCGGTAGAAAACGCCCTAGGTAAGATGTTAGATGTACCGTCACACTACAAGTTAACACATTAAATGATTAACACCACTTTTTTCCTTTCTGCGCTGTTAAAACATATTTCTAGTTTGACTCTTTAAACCTGTAGTTCCAGCCCTAAGCCCAGCTGCTTGTGTCCTGTCGCTCATTCAAATACAGCATTTAACTGGCAAGAGCAGTTACAGACATACAGCTGTGTGTCTATGAAGAGCAGCCACTCAATGTTTGAGCCTCCTTCTTCCAGTAATGGACCAAAACGTTCCATGTAAGACATAAAAGACCCCAGACACAATGTATGCTGTTTATATAACTTGTCAGTCCTGTCACTCTGACTGCCTTGCCAGATGTTTCATGGACAGTATTCTCTCACTACAATACCCAGCATGCATTACACAAATACATTATGATACCATTGGGAATCCCTGTGGTGTCAGCTTGTTATAATTTCTAGCCCAGCCACTGATAAACCTGTTAATAAATACAACCAAGCTAGCATTAGTGATCTCTTACATTGGTTATTGACAAGGATGATAAAGAAAATTGTAAAGAAGCCTGCACCCAAAAATCCACTCAATCTCACCATGAAGATATGTCATGAGAAGAGGGTTTTTCTAGACTTTAAACTGGAAAATGTCATTCTGTGACCACTGTAAGATGCATGTAAGCATGTTTACCTCAAGTTATGTTTTTAATTTTGGCCTGGCGTGTCCCTTTAAGATGTAAGGCTTATGAGGTCAGTCTTGATTACGTAATGCCGTTTTTGTCATTAATAATAGTTGAAAATTCGGATTAACTTGATACAGCAAGCACAAGCTGCATAATATATACAGCATAATCACAATACCGTATTCTGATTATAATGCTATATGTTGCAGTTACAATTTGCCTTGAAATATATTAAAACACATTGTGGAACCACTAATGACATGATTAAAGACACAGTAAACGGGCTCATTTGCATTTTGCAGTTTTCTGTGATATCAGTATTCTCCAATATCAAAATAATGATTAACAAACAATATATTCTGCAGCTCTATTGGTAAGAAGTTAAATGGCTCTGGAAAGATGTTAAGTTCCATATGTTGAAAACTATAGAGACAAATACTCTTTTTGTGTTTTGCCAGGTCGGAGAACCAGCAAACAGCAGCTGCGGTTCCTAGCTGTGTGTCCATGAAGAGTAACCACTCTATGTTTGAGCCTCCGGCTTTTCGGGATAAAGCAAAACGACCGAGGTGAGATATTAGCAGGTTCAAAAACTTGTGTGCTGTTTGCACAGAGATGAAAGAAGTTTACCTTTTTTCTTCTCATGTCAGGTTTGACAACAAACAGGAGAAAACGGCATCTTCAGAGCTCAGCTGTGTGTCTATGAAGAGCAGCCACTCCATGTTTGAGCCTCCTGCTTTCAGTAATAGACCAAAACATTTCACGTAAGGCATGAAAGACCACAGACACACTGTATGCTGTTTATATAACTTGTCAATCCTGTCACTCTGACTGCCTTGCCAGATGCTTCATGGACAGTATTCTCTCACTACAATACCCAGCATGCATTAAACAAATATGTCAATATGTATTTGTTAATATTCTGATTAACTTGATAGAACAAGTGTAATCTGCTCACAAGCTGCATAATATGTACAAAATACAGTATTGTGATTATATTGCTAAATATTGTAATTACAGTATGCCTTGAAATATATTAAAACAAATTCTCATTTGCATGTTGCCGTTTTCTGTGATATCAGTGTTTTCCAATATCAAAATAATGATTAACAAACAATATATTCTGCAGCTCTACTTCGTAAGAACTTAAATGGCTTAGGAAAGATGTTAAGTGCCATATACTGAGATCTATAGAGACAAATACCCTTTTTTGTGTTTTGCCAGGCCGGAGAACCAGCAAACAGCAGCTGCGGTTCCTAGCTGTGTGTCCATGAAGAGTAACCACTCTATGTTTGAGCCTCCGGCTTTTAGGGATAAAGCAAAACGACCGAGGTGAGATATTAGCTAGTTCAAAAAAAACTTGTGTGATGTTCACACAGAAATAAAAATTGTTTTTTTTTTCTTTTTATGTCAGGTTTGACACCAAACAACAGAGAAGAGCATCTTCAGAGCTCAGCTGTGTGTCTATGAAGAGCAGCCACTCCATGTTTGAGCCTCCTGCTTTCAGTAATGAACCAAAACGTTCCATGTAAGACATAAAAGACCACAGACAAACTGTATACTGTTTCTATAACTTGTCAATCCTGTCACTCTGACTGCCTTTCCAGATGTTTCATGGACAGTATTCTCTCACTACAATACCCAGCATGCATTACACAAATACATCATAAAACCATTGGAATACTTGTGGTGTCAGTCTGTTATAACTGCTAGCCCAGCCACTGATCAATCCATTAATAAATGCAACCAAGCTAGCATTAGTGATCTCTTACATTGGTTATTGACAAGGATGATAAAGAAAATTGTAAAGAAGACACCCAAAAATACACCCACCATGAAGATTTGTCATCAGAAGAGGGTTTTTCTAGTCTTTACACTGGAAAATTTCAGTCTGTGACCACTGTAGGATGCATATAATCTACGTTTACATGCAGCCTGATAATAGGTTAATAATCTGACTAATTGCTTAATCGGAATCTGATTGAATGAGGTGGGAAATCCTGTCAATAATCTTTTAAATAGAAGAATAATAACCTTGTAAACGCCTGTGTCTGATTACATTCCCAGTCAGAAATTTTAAGTACGTTCTGTGCGTGTGTATTTGTGTCATAGCAAACAATGTTCAACATGGTGGGAGCATTATGTCATCTTTTGCTGTGAAGGAAAAGCCATGTGAGGAGTGTGGCATGTGACAGCAAATTGCATCTGGAAATCACAGCAAAATTGTTTTTTTTATTGATTTGTTTTGTTTGTTTTTTTCAAAGCGTAATTTTTGTATAATTTTATCTCACATCTCTAAGGCATCTTTGGTTTGTTTGTTTCTTTGTTTTAGATATGGACTCTGTGGTCAGATTCCTAAAGATCCAGCCTCTAGCAGCTGTGGACACTCTTTCTGCACCCAGTGTATCAGCAGATATTGGGACCAGTCAGGTTCATCCGGAAACTCTGATTGTCCTCAGTGCAGAAGGAGATCTGGAACAGCACCTTCTTTACAGCCATCCACAAACATAGATTCAATGGAGCATAAACAACCAGGTGAAGATATTCTGCAGAAGGTCTTGATGAATCACAAAGCCAGTATGAAGAGCAAATATGAGTGCTTATTTGAGGGAATCCCAACGCACGAAAACAGAACACTCTTAAACAGCATTTATACACAGCTCTACATCATAGAGGGAGAGAGTGAAGGGGTGAATGAAGAACATGAAGTCTTGCAGGTTCAGAACATGTTCCAGGGTTGCAACAAAGGCATCCCAGTCAGCTACAGTGACCTCTTCAGACCCTTACCAGAACAAAGTCTTGAGAAAGAACATGAAAGAAGTGGACTAGAAGAGAGAAAGTTTAAAACAGTGCTCACTAAAGGCATCGCTGGCATCGGAAAAACAGTCTCAGTTCAAAAGTTCGTTCTTGACTGGGCTGAAGGAAAAGCCAATCAGGATATAGATTTCATGTTTATGCTTCCATTTCGTGAGCTGAACTTGATCAAGGATGACCAGTATAGTCTTCATGGACTTCTTTGTGTTTTCCATCCAGAGCTTAAAGAACTTGATCCAAAGGTGTACGATCTGTGCAAAATCATGTTCATACTAGATGGCCTGGATGAAAGCAGAATTTCACTCAACATCACAGCATCATCACAGAGTAAGATCATTTCTGATGTGACCAAGAAAACATCAGTAGGCGTGTTGATGACCAACATCATCAAAGGAGAGCTGCTTCCCTCTGCTCTCATCTGGATCACCTCCCGCCCAGCGGCAGCCAGTCAGATCCCCTCCCGGTATGTCAGCCGTGTGACGGAAATTCAGGGGTTCAGTGACCCTCAGAAAGAAGAGTACTTCAAGAAGAGGATCCGTGATCCATATCAGGCAAGCAGAGTCTTCTCACAGATTACGAAAGCAAAGACCCTGTACATAATGTGCCACATACCAATCTTCTGTTGGATTTCATCCATAGTGATCCAGCAGATCCTGGAGCAAGATACTTGTGGAGAAATTCCAACAACTCTGACTGAAATGTACATACATTTCATGCTAATCCAGACAAAAACAAAGAACCTGAAGTATCATGTAAAAGATGATGATCTGTGGACAAGGGAAAAAGAGATGATCCTAAAACTTGCTGAACTGGCTTTCAAACAGCTGATCAAGGGCAATATCCTGTTCTATGTAGAGGACCTGAGAGAATGTGGCATTGATGTCACTGAGGCGTCTGTGTACTCTGGAGTTTGCACTGAAATCTTCAAGGAGGAGTCTGTGCTGTACCAGAAGAAGGTCTTCTGCTTTGTGCATTTGAGCTTTCAAGAGTTTTTTGCTGCTCTTTTTGGATTTCAAGCCTGTGTGGAGAAGAATGCTGAGGTAGTGAAGATGTTCAAGAGTCGAAGTTCAAAACCTTATGGGACATTTGTGGATCAATTTATGAAGTCTGCAATAGATAAAGCTTTGGCTAGTAAGACTGGACACCTGGATCTCTTCCTCCGCTTCCTATGTGGCATCTCGCTGGAATCCAATAGGGATCTCTTGAATCACATACTGTCCTACAAATATGAAATGTCAGAGCAGTTTCAGGAGAGTATTCGGCGTGTCAGACAGAAGCATCCAAAGAACGTCAGTGCTGATAGATGGATCAATTTCTTACATTGCTTCAGCGAAATGAAGGATACCTCTTTTCAGACAGAAGCCAAGACTTTGTTGAACGCTAAGAAATGCGTCACGGGATGGGATTGCACAAGAATAGCTCACACATTACAGACGTCCAAGGAAGTACTGGATGAGTTTGGCCCGAGGAAATACAAAGCATCAGATGCAAGTTATAGAAGAATGATCCCTGTTGTGAGGAACTGCAAAAAGGCTTTGTGAGTTCTGTATCAGTACATTAAAACAAAAGAAAATATTTGATATAAAATATATAAATTATACGTATTAGGGGTGTGAATCCCTAGGCACCTCACGATTCGATGCGATTAGTATCAGCACATGTTACAGCTGTTCTACCCATTTTCTTTTATTTTTTTTTTTGCTTTTGTAACTTTGGATTTGGTCTCGTTGTAGAGAGTGGGGGGAATCGCTGTGTCAGTAAAATATCTTCGAGACTGGACGCTGTATCTCGACTCCAACATAGCGCAAAAGCCCTGATTTTCAACAACTGAGGACCAGCGTGCAGACTGCACATAGCAATGCAGTCTTGCCTGGCTAGTATCTAACGAAAAGGCAAAGAGAGAGATTTAAGATGAACATTTGGAGATGAATGGACTTATTTGCATTTATAAGCAGCGCAGTCGGTTTCCTGGAACGTTAAACCTGCAGTGAGAGACTGTCAAACACTAAAAAGTTGTGAAGATGAAGTCAGCATCTCTTTTGAATTTCCCCGTTCCACCTTAAATGGTGCCGCATGTACATTCTGGCACCTCAGTCAGAATTTAAGGTGGAACTGGAAAATTCGAACAAGACGCTGGAGAATAAGAAGCGACTTCAGACTCGTAAAACAGTCGAACAATAAGAGACATTTTACAAGAAACTCTTCTACTTTTGAGGAAAAGTTTTCCGGCAGCGATGAGAGGAAAGTGGCTATAGCTGAAGCTTAAAGCAAAGTAAATGTGTGTTTTCATTTATATTTTTTAACCTATACTAGGACATCAGCACATACTGAGACATACTGGACATAAAATGTTGTGGCTCCCAAGGTGGTGTGATTTTTGTTGAAAGAACAAAATGGCTCTTAACATTTGGTTAGTCGACTCCTGACCTAACCTGGCTTTTAATGCCGGTCGGATTTCTCGCTCATCCAGTTTCCACTGTCCAGGCGCTGCACTCCCGCACTTCCGCACTTCCAAGTTCTGCCTTTTGCATTCTGCCAACATTACGTAATAAATGAAAATTTTGAAAATCGATTTATGACATTTGTGAATCGATTCAGAATCGTCAACATCCGCATCGTGATGCATCTAAGAATCAAAATTTCCCCCACCCCTAATATGTATAAAATATTCATAACATGTTCCATATTATGAAATCTAGGAGAATAAATGAGCACTGAATAATTATCATTATTTTCAACATGTTGGTTTTACAGTACATATAATTTGCCTGTCATTTGTTGTGCTTACAGACTGGCAAACATGAAGCTCACAAATCAGGACTATGAAATAGTTATCTCAGCTCTGCAGTCATCAAACTCAGTTCTGATAGAGCTGGATCTGAGTTACAATGACATCCAGGATTCAGGGGTGAAGCAGCTCTGTGCTTGTCTGAGGAATCAACACTGTAAACTGGAGACACTGAGGTAATTTGGAAATTGCGCCTAAATCTTAATCAACTTGCATTTTGACTATGGAGAAATATAATATTTAATTCTGTAGGGTTACAAATGCAGTAAAATGAATGAAATGCAGACAGAGTTCAATAAATACTTCAGAAAATATCGGTTTGAAATCACAGTCAAATCTAAACACTTTTCTCAAGACAGTCATTATGAAACAATATTCCGCTGATACCAATATGATTCCATTTAAGTAGCGCATTCATGTGTCGCTGCTGTCGGAAGAAAACCTTGTATCTCCATTTTTGTCATTTTTTAGTTTTTGACATAATTTGAAAATACCTGTTGCCTTTTATATTGTGTAAATTTCATGGTGAATGGACCAAAAGAAACGGCCCAAAATGACTTGGAAAACAGTCTGGTTTCATATACATACATTAAAAGTAAGATAGGTTTTTTCCTTTTCCTGTAAAGTTACCATTTTGGAGATATGAGGTTTTCTTTCGACAGCAGCGATATCTTTTATTAAATTGTTTGAAATTGTAGCACTGGTGCTGAATGGCTGACAACTTGGTGGTCAACTTTTGCTTTGATTGGAATCATACACTGAATTTATGCATTCTGAAACTCCTACATTATTTGACTGAACAGACCAGCATTTCTAGCATCCAGCATCTGCCAAATAGCTTGCAGTAAGAAAGCAAGCAAACACATGGCCACAACCAAGCCTGTCACATCCCAATTCAGCATCACCGCACACAAAAACCAAATAGAGGTGTAAATTGTTACCTAATAACAGCCATACAGAGCAAGAGCAAAGAGCAATTTATTTTGACCGTTAGGGCTGAAAGATTAATCGTTTTATACAACGCAATTATTAAGTATTTAATATTTTTTATAAAATAATTTTTGTATTTAATAATACAATTTAAGGCAGTGCAATTTTCAAATCACAAGAGCTGCAACTTTCTTTAATTATAGCCAACACTCCTATAAAATGTAGTTCTTCAAGGTTCTTGAAAAAGATGGTTCTTTTGTAAAGACAGTCATTCTATGTAGAACTTGAACACTCAGACCCATTTCCATGCATAAAAAGTTCTTTGTTTGGTGAAAAGGTTCTTCAGATTGGAGAACGTGCTGTATGTGGTTCTGTATAGCACCAAAAAGGGTTGGTACTGTTACTTTGTTGCTTATTGATGTCAAGCTTATAACAATAGAACAACATTTTGGTCCTATAGAGAACTCTTCAAAAAGGTTCTGTATAGAACCATATACATCACATTCTCTATCAATCTGAAGAACCATTTCACCACGCAGAGAACTTTTTATGCACACAAATGTCAAAGTCTTTATGGTTCTACACAGAACCACTGTCTTTACTAAAGAACCCTTGACAAACCATCTTTATTATGTGGGTACATTAGCAAAAACAGTGTTTTAAGTTTTAAGAAGGGAAACGGAACCTAGTAAGAGTTTGTGAAATGCCTGTAGGTGAGTTAGACCAATCAGAGGCAAGAAAATCTCCATGTGTTGTGACATCACAACCACAGCTTACTGGCAGTTTGATACACTATGTTCAGGGGTCGAGCCTCAGAATCTCAATAAAAAAATAAATAAATAAATAAAAAACCGCGAATCGTAGTCGCAATATTTGTTGGAAAAAATCGCAATATTTTCCACAAATTGTTCAGCCCTATTGACCGTTCAGAATCTGCACTTAGCAGCTGCCTGAATTCTGTGGGGAACAGTAGCGGCTGAGAGCGTTTTCTTCACAATGCTGAAGTTGGCTTCTAATTTTCTGTTACATCTTAATGAAGCAGAACTTGTAACGGAAAATATGAATAAGAAGCTGGCTAGCTTTAGCTTCGCGTTTTCTTCTTGCACTGGTAACTGACACATTTGGATGATGTCTTCACAAATGAGTCAGCATATTTGTGGTGTTAATGCGAGTATCTGTGTAATAAAGACTCTCCAGATGGGTTTGAATCCATAATTCCCGTTTACTCAAAACATAGTATCAAAAATCACAAAAACCAGAATCTGAGACAGTCCAAAAAGTCAAAAAAAAGAATAGATCACAACACAGCAAAGATACCAAAGGGAATTTAAAAAACAGAGTTAAAGAGTTCAGAAAAAGGTCCAGGCAATCCCAAAAAAAAAAATCCAACAAATGTGAAGAAACAAGGCTTGGTACTCAGATGAACTGGCAATACTTCACAGAGATCCAGTGTGAGTGAAGGTCTTTATAAAGGGAGGTTAATGAGCTGCGGGTGAGAGAGGTCAAGGTGTCACTAGGAAGCAAGTCAGTACTGACCTCTGGTGACGAAGGCGGGTATTACACCTGCCCATCCTGTGCATCTGATGCTGCTGCCTCTTCTGCCTTGATCGGGTGCCACTGCTCATCGTGCAAACCTCACCCCCACAACCTGACCCCACTGATGCTGCTGCTGCTGCTGCTGCATGAACTAAACTATTCAAATGAATTGTTTGCTCCTCCTTTTACCCTGTTTTTTGTACTATAATACTTTATACTAACAATGTTTTACTATCCGGTGTCGACCAGAGGAGGATGGATTCCCCTTCTGAGTCTTGGTTCCTCTCAAGGTTTCTTCCTGTTTCCCTAGGGAGTTTTTCCTTGCCACTGTCGCCACTGGTGACGCTCATGGGGGCTCAGACCCGGATTTCTTTTCTTTTTAATGCTGATTTCCTTGTAAAGCTGCTTTGTGACAACACCGGTTGTAAAAAGCACTATATAAATAAACTTTACTAACTTTACTACTACAATCTGATCCTCACACTAGGCACTCTGTCACCGTTCAATCTGCCTCTTATTGTACATCATTATTGATCTGGATTGAGAAACCTTGCCCTTTTAAACAGCTTCACTCATCAACCATCTGTGGTAGGCTAACCAAATCAGTTTTTTCCAGCTTGGTTTTTTCCAGCTGCGGTTATCACTTTTAGAAATGTAATAGATTTAGTTCAATAGAACTATAGATTCCCATTTCAATTATCACGCCTTTTTATAGCATGAAAACCAACTGTATTCTGTTCAGTGTGTATCGTCTCACAATATTGAAAAAATAAAGTATTGAAAAAATAAAGTATCATGAACATGGGCATCATACCTCACATTAACTTGCTCTTATTCTAGTAGTTCACAATGAACTCAAAGTATATATTTTGAGTTGTTTATGTTGCATAAAGAGGAGATTTGGCGGTTAAAATCCCAAAGTCTTAGTAAATGGAAGGGCATATTTGTATGTAAACCAGTTATAGTGCTTTAGGTTCTTAGTGAGTTACAACATGTCACAGTGTGGCAATATAGCAGTTTGACTGGAACCTGAGAGAATGTGAAGATTTAACAGGTTTATTTTTGTTTGTTGTTATTTTGTTTGTTCAAGGAAAGAAATTGACTTTTTTTCTGAAACCCTTTCTGCATCCCAGAATTGTGACTCTCGCTCATTTGAAAATTCAGTCTGGGCTTTTCTTGAGAAGAACAGAAAAAAGTCAAAAAGTAAAATGAAAAAAGCAGGTTCATAATGGTGCCCAGTGCCCCATGATGGATAGATGTCAAGTCAGTAGAACCCTAAACCACTTGACCCAGGAGTATACCTTTATTCTAGTTACTATTAGAATATTAGGCTGTTGCAGACATTATCATGGTAAATTTATAACTCTGCACTTCAACAGAACTAAATTGTCTTGCTTTTGTTTTTTTTTGTAGGTTGGTTACGTGTAATCTCACTAAGCAAACCTGTGAATACTTAGCACTTGCTCTGCAGTCTGCAAATTCAGCCCTAAAAGAGCTAGATCTGAGTCAGAATGACCTGGAGGACTCAGGAGTCAAACTGCTTTCTGGAGGACTGGAAAGTCCTCACTGTCAACTGGAGATATTGAGGTTAGTTTTCACAATGTTGTTATTTTTGTGTTTATTTTATGTAAGGGTGCTTCTTTGAAAATATGATTTTGCTGGCACTTGGACTAGGCCTGCCACAATTTTTACAAAATTACCTTACCTGAATATTTGAGGTGACTGTGATTATTTAATCTGGTCATAATTTCAGAATAATACATTTTTTCAGTTCAAACAATTGAACTGACAAACAGTTGCAATAAGAGGGAAGTGCAGAATAGATTCTTCATCTGACTTGTCATCAGTTCAAAGTTCTCTTCTGTGTTTGGTAACACTTGCAGCTAAAGCTAACTTAGTGAGTTTAGTATTTTTTTTGCTCTGCTAGATGGGGATAAAGTTACCAAGCGCTCACAAAATAATAAGCACACCACAGTGTACAAACTTCATACCAAAAAAGTTGTGACAGTATGTAAAATGAGAAAAAAAAACAAGAAGCAATGATTTGTAAAACTACTTTGACCTGATTTAAACAAAAGCTGTACAAATACAAGATGCTCAGTGTTTTATCAACTGCTAGCTTGGTTGCCTTCAGAACTGGATCAGTTTGTGTCTTAAATCCCCAAACATTTACTAACTGTTATTAAAAAGAAAGGTAATGTAACATAGTGGTAAATGTGCTTCTGTCGCAACTTTTCTGGAACATGTTGCAGGCATCGTATTTGAAAGTAGTGCATATTTACAAAAAACAATAAAGTTCAGAAGGTAAAACATCAAATGTTGTGTTTTTTTATAAAACAGATAATTCCGGTCCTAAAATCAGCCGTTGTGAAATACACAATATACACACACCTATGACTGCCTCACAACAACTGAACTCTGTATTACTGCGCCACAGCATGAAAAACCCTACTGCTTGGAATAATGTTTGACACTAATTCTGCTCACATGGAGCACCAAGTGTACTGATGAAGGAAGAAACCGGTTCTGTTTAAACTGAGGGGCTTACAGCTTATCCTCTCAACTAGAACTAGGCTGGTCAGCTAGTTAACAGGCTAAAAGATAGCAAACATGCTAAACAGCTCCATCACAGCTCTATAATATCACAGACCACAATACCTTTTTATTTACCTTGATAGCTGCCTTCCTCAACTCTCGCTCACTGTTCAGACACCTCAAACTTCAGCCTCATAACCAATCAGGTTAAGAGTTGTGACGCTGCTGCAGTTATGAGTTGTTGATAGGTGTCATTTGGCACTAACTGCACAGAAAGGCTCCTCCACAGACTGCTGCTGCTAAGGATGATGCAAAAGATGCTCCTTACCTAGCAGCGGTTCTTTAAATGAGACACACTGTCAATCAGGCGGCAGTCAGTTTGAGCTAGGCTTAGAATAGCATGTGGCTAACTTGCTAACGGCTTACAATTTAGGCCCAAAACATACTTTACGCAAGAACATGAATGCGAATGACAGCGCTTGGCCAATGCACTGCAAATGCTCAGTTCTTCTGTACAAACTGGCCGCGCGTTCTTACACTGCTGTGGAGGTTAAAACACTCAGTACTGAAGGGGGCGATAGAGTACAAATCAGAGTGGGATCTAGTTTTATTCCAACAGCCTCAACAGCTAAATGTGGACAGTAGAGGAGAGTGAGCAGCTTTACCTCTTCTCTTAGATTGGAAATGCGATAATTATTCATATTTTTATGCCATCTTTGCGTGAGACCCAACTGCTCATCTGCTATGGCAGTTCAGAAGCAAGCTGGGGGTACAAGACCGCTTGGTCAGGCTTGGCTGACTTTTATATTTTGCAGGCTGTCTCGTTGTTTGGTCACAGAGGAAGGCTGCGCTTCTCTGGCTTCAGCTCTGAGTTCAAACCCATCTCACCTGAGAGAGCTGGATCTGAGTTACAACCACCCAGAAGAGTCAGGAATGAAGCTGCTCTGGGCTAAAGTGGACGACCCAAACTATAAACTGGACGCACTGAAGTACGTAATTAACCTAGCATTATTTGCGTATCACTGTTTTAGTGATACTGAATTAGTACTAAAGTAGACTGTGCTTGGCTAGGGTGTAGCATTCCTTAAAGCCTGCTGAAGACGCTGAAAAAATCTGCTTCTGTCCTTCATGCCCTGAAAATTGTTTTTGATTTTTATTATAGTTTCAGAATTAAATGGAAAACCTGTACATTTAAATACTAGTACTAAAAATAATACTAGTACTAAAAATAGTACTTAAATACTATTAAAAACTTGGAAAATGAAAACAATTGATTAGATGTTCTAGAAATATTAGTGAAGTCCTGGAAAAGTGCATGTGATTGTGGTTTAGCACGTTTTAGCAGCTAATGTCCAATTTAAGTGTCCATTCAGACCTATTGTGGCTTCAGTACTACAGTGTCGTACCTGGACACTGTGTCAGAATGCCTGGCAGACCAAGGCTACATTAACACATGCCAGCTTGTTGCAGTGTGTTTTCACTTCTAATATTTTAGTACTCCTGATTAAATTGTGATTAAGTATATCAGTAAGGGGTCATTTGGGGTTGTAATGATGACTTTAATGGTGAGGACATCAGCAGTTGTGTGTCATTTTAAGACCTAAGACCTTTAGTGGGCAACATCGGTTAAGTTTATAAATCACGGAAATTGTTCTAGAATTTGTCCTAAAAAAAAGTCCTGGAATATAATTTTGAGTTAGCAAGAAATTTTTTTTTCTACAATTTTTTGTTTTGTAATAGTTTTCATTAACGTTAATAAGCCTGACATCACAGACCAGAGTCAAATTATTAGTCATTCCTTTCTGAAAGCCACTTAGCTGGTTATGTAGGTGTGTTGCTCTAATATTAAATCATTTTATTAAAGCAAAACTAGTGTTGCATGGAACTGTAAACCTGAATAACCTCCCATAAACCATAATCAGGTAGATTGAATTATAAATGGAAACTCTGAGAAAAAAGGCTCAAAACCTAGTAGTGAAGATAAGCCATGAAAATGAAATTTGTATCATTCACTAATGATTAGAAATATTTTAGCTGTCACTTTTATGGAAAAAAATAACTTTAGTTTGTTTGTTTAATGTAATTATGTGTACGGTATGTTCTGTCTGGTCTGTATCTGTGTTGTGTATCTTCCACCTTTCAAAGTTGAAAGATGAAGTGTTTAAATCTCATACCTGTGTTTCTATTAATTAGCTTTAACTATAGAGGGGTGTCCAGAATGAAACCAGGAGTAAGAAAATGTAAGTTTTTACAAGCACATGCACATGTATGCGTACTTGCTATCTTGTTTGCTATGAAACTTCATATATTTAAATTCTGTCCTTGTGTGCAGATGCCTGCCAGCTCACTGTAAATCTAAATACTATTCACAATACACTGATCCTGAGCGAGGAGAACAGAAAGGTGACATTTGTGTTGGACGAGAAGACGAAGCAGGTCTACCCATATCATCCAGAGCGATGTGAATACCCCCAGCTGCTGTGCAGAGAGGGTCTCACTGGACGCTGTTACTGGGAGGCTGAGTGGAGTGGCTGGAGAGCTGGTATAGCAGTAGCCTATAAAAAAACCATCAGACAATTTGGAAATGATGAAAATTCATGGGGCCTCTTTGCCTTCAATCAGAAATATTATTTCCACCACAAAGACAAGAAGAAGTTCCTACCTGCCCCTCGTTCTCGCAGCAACAGAGTAGGTGTGTATCTGGACGGGCCGGCTGGTACATTGTCCTTTTACAGCGTCCTCACTGACGGAAGCACGCTGAGCCACCTGCACACAGTCCAGTGCAGGTTCGCTGGGCCCCTTTACGCAGGCATTTATGTTTATGACGCATCAGTGTCTTTGTGTCATATATGAAGATCTGCAGTTGGCATAATGCAGTGGAAACACTGCTGTCCTTCACATGGGACATGGGTTCGAACCCCCATCCCGGCAAGAACACCAAAATTTAAAAAAAGTCTGTAACAATGTTTACAAAAGACTACTGTGTTGCATAAGTGTATTTTACATTTATGGCATTTGGCAGACGCTCTTATCCAGAGCGACTTACAATTTGAGCATTTATACAGATGCAGGCAATGGTAGTGTAGCCTTGCCCAAGGACTCTTATTGGTGAAGTGTAGGGTACTTGCCCAGGTGGGGATTGAACCCCAGTCTACAGTGTAGAGGGCAGAGGTGTTACCCACTACACTACACCAGCCACCAACCAAACTGTATTTAATGTTACATGCAGGCTTTCTCTCTGTCCGTTCTCATTCGAGTCATTCAATTTTTGGAGGTAAATCAGCGCTAAGTGACCAGCAGGACTGCTAATGTCTAATGAAAGTAATTAAACACACTAATTAGCTAGCATTAACCAAGTTCTGCTTCTTAATCCTATATAAATAAATGTTTTCATGTCATATGGTTTGATGGATATGTTTGCTGGTAACGTAGCTACTTACTTCTTAGCCAAATTGTGTTGCAATTAAGCAATAGAACCCGAGAGGGAGTGTGTTATCGCGAAATAACATCACAACTGTGATTCGGTCGCTGTAGATCATCACAGCCGTGATGTTATTGGCGATAACACACTCCTCGAGTGTTCTATTGCTTTAATACAACAGTTAAATAAATACAGTAATAAATTAATAAACTGGGCCGTGAACGCGGCGTTTAATATGTTTTAATGTTCGCAGTTCCTTCACCAAATTATAGTTCCTTAACGAGCAGCTTGTTGCTACGTCAGAGTAACGAGCTCCGCCCACTCGCTGCACAGCCGGCTGTCGTTCTGCAGCTCCACACAGACCAACTGACTGTTTGGGAATTTAGTGTCGTCTCATCTTCAGAGTCTGACCAAATCGGCTGTCGGTCAAATGTGATCTTAAAAGTATCCATTTTCTGTTTGTGGCAAAGTGAGAAGTAAAAACATTCAAATGTCTTGAGCGTCTCCTACAGCTCTCAACGTTGTTGCTTAGCAACGGCGTCTCAGCAGAGTGATACAGTGTTTGTGAAAAACTTGTGATGTTATGGTGAAATAACAGCACAGTTAGAACACTTCTCAACCAATCAGCTTTTGTGGCCGGAACTTCATCATAGCTCACCCAACATAACTCATCCCTCCAAGGTAAAATAAATGCTTATTCCCTCTCAAACTCTTATACACTATACGATCAAAAGTATTTGGACACCTGTACTAATTATTGAGTTCAAGTGTTTCAGAAACACCCATAGTCATGTGATCTCCACACTGGCAGTAGAATAGGTTGTACTGTGAAGTGCTCAGTGACTTTAAACATGGCCCTGTCATAAGATTCCACCTTTGCCACAAGTCAGTTCATGACACTTCTGCCCTGCTGGATCTGTAAGTGCTGTTATTGTGAAATGCAACCTTCTAGGAGTAACAACAGCTCAGTGGTAGACCACGCAATCTCACAAAGTGGGGCCACCAAATACTGAAGCGCTCAGTGCATAAAAATTGCCTATCCTCACTACTGAGTTCTAAACTCAGTAAATGGGTTTCCATGGCCAAGTAGCTTCACACAAGCCTAAAATCGTTGTGCACAATGCCAAGAGTCATCTGGATGGGTGTACAGCACTCTGCTACTGGACTCTGGAGCAGTGAAAACATTCTCAGGAGTGAAGAGTCACGCTTCACTGTCTGGCGGTCTGATGGATGAATCTGGGTTTGGTGGACTTTTCAATTTGGTATTGAATATTCAATTTTGATACCCAGCTCTATGTTGTCAATAAACAGTTGTCATAATGAAGCATCTACTTCTAAAATTGTACATTGTAAAAGCATTGGGCCTCATTCACCATTCATTCTTAAGAAAAAAAATGTCTTAAAACCCACTTAGAGTTTTCAAGAAGATTCTCACATTCTTGTCATCTGTTATCTGTTTTCTTATCTGGGATTTGATCTCAGGTAAGAACAGAATCTACACACTCAAGAGCACAAAGGTGAGAACAGTTCTGCGCACAACATGAATCTGACGTAGACTTTTTCTTAGGATCTTTCTCAAGAATACACTTAAGAACAAACTTAGGAAGATGTTGGTGAATGAGGCCCGATGTTTACACACTAATGTTGAGACGATGCTGTAACAGGGTTGATGTGTCAAAAAACGGAGGAAACAATGGACGAATAAAGAATTTAAGAGGTATGAAGTTGTCAATGTAGTAATGTAATGTAATAGACCATTTATTACTGACTTAACTTATTTCAGAAGTGCCCCTTTTATTGATGCTTTGCAATGTTTCAGGACCTTACACCACCCCACCCACCCACACCCCACAAAGCAATTATAACTCTGTGTATGTCTCTCTCTCTCTCTCTCTCTCTCTCTCTCTCTCTCTCTCTCTATGCAGTTGTATGCAAGTCTGAACACTGGTTTTCAGCTTTTACAGGGCACGCACTTAAATATGACATTTTCTATTTATTGTATTTCTTTAGTTTAACATTCAAAAAAAAATTTCTACTTAGAAAATCAACAAAACGTCATTTGACAAAGATGCACTGAAATCAGTGTATATGTTAAGTAGTTAAATTCATTCTTGCAAAACATTCCCTGCATTTTTTTAACTGGCTCCCCTTTGAGAAGACCACCTGGCCAGTAGCCCCTCGGCTATTTAAATTTGAGACCCCTGTTTAAACCAAATATGCAGTTATCAAGAAAGAATACAAGCTTTATCATCACAAATGCAGCACCATTGGTAACGTGTTGCTGTTTAAAACATCATCATTGCTCCTGTCTGAGCTCCTCAACATCAGCTCCATTGCATGTTTAATTCTGGTTGACCGTCCCAGAAAACAAAGCTATACTGGAGCAGAAACCTTTTGTTATTTAAGATACACTAAAAAGTATAACATTTGTTTGGATGTTGTTTGATGTCCAGCGTAATTGTAAATCCCATCCTCATGAAGTCACTAAGTGTGTTACGTGAAGTCAATAATCCAATCATAATCAGATTTCTGCAGTTATCCAATCATTCAAATAGTCATAAAAACACCATACTGCGATCTAGAAATCTGATTAAGAAATCTAATAAAGAGGCTGGATTTTAGCTCAGTAATCAGATTCCTCAGGGCTGTAAACTCTTACTCTGATTTCTTTCAGATTTCTCAGTCTGAGCATGAGCAGAAAAGACTGTAGTACCGGAAATAAGCGTGCAGCGTCGCCGCGAGACGCAGCAAAACACTTTTGGAGCGACACTGAAACCACATTCTCAACGAAATAAAGGATTTAAATGTTCTTCATCTTCTAGATGATGTTTGTTCATATTTTCAGGTAAAGTGACACGATGTTTAAAAAAAAGCCACGGCATGAAGTTTTACATTATGTTTATGTCATGTCTTTCTTCTGTGAGTTTATTGACTGGTTGTAAAGCAGAAATCTGATTACTGTCTGACTCATGTAGACCTGGAGTTTCCCCATTATCTGATTACTCAAGTTCATATCGATGCATTGATCAGATTACTGACAATCAATTTTTATGCAGTTATCAAATTGTTTAGTGCATGTAAACACAGTGTTTACTCAGAGGTAGATGGGCTCACACAAACAAGAGGATCTAGGTACTGAGTAATTTGACCCAGGGTGCCTCAGTTTTGTGTACGACTGTATGTTTATATGTCTGTTTATCTAGAATGTTTTTCAGTGATGTGTTTTAAATAAATAAATGCAAAAGCATCTGTACATTGTACATCAGTGTAAGTGCGCATTAGTCTTAGACCAGTTTAACACTGTATGACCACAGCACTTTCGTGATGGTGATATGTGGGTCATTCTACAGAAATGTCCATTTTTGTGTCCCTAGCATTTACAGATATATTACACTTAAAAAAATGTTAGGGTTACAATTTATTTATATTTTATAATAAAACAATAAGTTATTTTAACAATTACACCTTCTTGAGCCTCAATTTAGCAATATTGGTTTTTAAATCAATTATTTAGAATTACAAGCACCGCAGAAGAGCTCGTCCTCACAGTCATGTGTGAAGGCTGAGGCCATATTTTGAAGAAAAAAACATTTTTTCTGCTATTTTAACTGCAATAATCTCTATAGGACTATGAAATATATGAATTAAATGACAAAGAAAACAAATGGCAAATCAATATTATAAAATATATAATGAAAGTTCCCCAGGAGTCGTGTCACTGGTGTTACTGCGTAACAAAAAATCTTATTTTGAAATAAAAGTCACACTGATGACATCACTCGACTTCCTTTTACCTGTTTTCTGAGGATCTATGAAGAAAAGCTCATGGTGAGTCCACTGAGTCTTTCAGTTATCAGAGATTTTCTCATTCAGCTCATGATTTCATATGAAGCTTTTAGCTGAAGTCACTGGTGTGACCGACTTTATTCTGAGGTAACTGTGAAAAAATAGAACACAAATCAATTGAATTTCATATTTTAGTGGATATTCCCTGATTGACCACATGTGGTTTGATGCTCTGTAGCAGTTATTTTGTAAAATGCATTGTTCATTAAAATGTCTCTGGTGTTCCTTTATTATGTGTAACACCAATGAGGATCAGTAACACCAGTGACTCCTATGGAGAGACAGAGAAGTGGACGTTTCTGTAGAATGACCCCTTTGTATTGTACTACACTCTTTAAAAAGAGGTTCTTCAAGGCCTCTTTAGTAAAGAAAATGGTTCTATATAGAACCATGAACACTCAAAGAACACTTTGATTAAAGAGTTTGTTTGCATCATGAAAAGGTTCTTCAAAATGGAGAATGTGCTGTAGATGGTTCCATATAGAACCTTTTGGAAAAGGGTTCTGTATAACACCAAAAAGGGTTCTACTGTTGTTACGATGAGCTTGTAACAATAGAAGAACCCTTCTACAGCACATTCTCCATCAGTTTGAAGAACCTTTTCATGATGCGATGGAAGTTTATTTAAATAGCACCTTTTAAACACTGCTGTCATTCAAAGTGCTTTAAAAATGAGAAAATTCAGAGTCAGAGTTGGTTAAAAAAGTAAATTAAGCACAAATAGAAAAACGTAATTAAAAACAACCCTAAAACCCTAAAATCATTCAATTAAAATCAAATTAGAAGTTAAATTAGGAAAGTTAAATAATCAAAATAAAAACTTAAAAAGTTAGATTAGGATTGAAAAAAAATACAAAGAACCCTTTCTTCACCAAAGGTTTTTTTTTAATGTTGGTGGTTCTTTATAGCCATTTTCTGTACTAAAGAACCCTTGAAGAACCATCTGTTTTAAGTGTGTTCATTAGTACTACGTTAGTCTGTCTTGTATGTTATTATTTGTGAAAAACTGTGAAAAATGATAAATGAATGTTGTGGTCAGTGTGTAAGTGCTGCCATCTGCTGTTCGAAAAATTGCAGAACACTTTTCCTCTGAGCTTTAAGATGGACCAGCCAGGCCAAACAGACAATATACTAACGCAAGCAGTATTTCTTTTTTCTGCATCAGCCTCATGGGGGGGTTTGAATTCAGTTAAGCAGTCAGTACACAGGTAATTAGTGCTTTATTACACGCTTCTGCACATTTTAATGCACTTTTTCTGTTTATTTGCTGAATCTAATGTATTGTAGGGGAAAGAAAACATAAAATGTGGCCCGTGCAAAAGTTACAGCACATTATATTTTTTTTATTTGTTCCAAAATATTAAATTTAGCAAATAAATAGACATTGCGCACTAAAGATTTGCAGATAAAAAGCAATATTTAAGTTCCATGTAATAGATGTGTTTACTTATTTTCATATAGATCAAGACATGTAATTGTATTAGTATTGGATGGTAACTGTAAATACTGGGTTTCAAAGAGCTGCAGAAATGGTTACACTGACACACTGGATGGACAGAAAATGGATTGTTTTTTCGCTGTTGTTGTTTATTTCTTATAGACAGCTATAATGTTTAAGTTAAATTTAAATATAAATTTCCTGGACAGCCTAATTTGTTTAAGTTATTGTAGGTATTAAAAGGCAGCCAGTGTGTTTCCTTTGAAAAAATGAAGTATTTATTGAGAAGCCCAGATGCTGCTAATGAGATTTGGCTTAAGCAAAGCATGTAGTGTGACAGTAATGCTCTAAAAGAAGCATCGCAGCAGTGCGGGGCTTCTTGTATTTGAGCCCACATTATCTGAGAGTCAGAGGGGAACTCCACCGATTTTTTTCAAAATTTCTGCGTAATTAAACGTTTAAGATGTAAACAGAGTCGTTCAGAGTGATTTGGTGTGAAACGCTCTGTTCTAGAGAAACTTACAGTCAGAACTGTTCACAGTGGTGGTGATAGGAACCAGACGTCCACCTCTAAAAGCTCCCTCACAGAAAGTTACTACATGAAATGGTTATGAATTCACTGCCTGATGACTGAGACGTTTTACAATAGATCTTAAATAAAGTTTTGGCCTACTTTTCAAATCTATTCATGGTGGAGGGATACATGCAGGGTGTTATAAGGCCAAATAGTCCCCAAAGAAAACTCAAATTTTCAGATTTATCACTATTTTCCCATCATCAACATTCCATATAGACTCGTGTAGGTTCACTGGTGGTTCTGGATAGTAAATAAAATGTCTATATTTGTGTTGTAGTCATGGCGACCCCTGGCTCCTATCACCACCACTGTAAAGACATCTGAACCATTTCACACCAAATCACTCTGATTACATCTCACACACTGAACTATGCAGAAATTTTGAAAAAGCAGTGGAGTTCCCCTTTAAATGTGGAAGCACTGCAACCTGATCTCTCTCTCATTTCTGGAATATTGACTGAAATCTGCACGTCATTCATAGGGTTTAATTTTGTTTTCTCCAGATGCTTTGGTGCTAGTTGGCCTTTGGAAGCAGCGCTGATTGGATAAGCGCTGAGATATAAACTCTGTGAACACTGGCGATTATTATAATGAGTAAACTGGCTCTGCTGAAATGGGACACTAGTAGCTGCTTAAAGGGAGGGTTAATGCAACATCTGGTTTCATGGGAACTGAGGAAGGAGGAGCCTCACAAGACAAAAACATAGTAGCAACGACAGAAAGTTACTACAGCCAACACAGGAGGACCTGCAGAGACCTGAGAGAGTCTATGAAGAAACTGAAGGCATCAGTCACTGAAGGATGTGGTCATTATATGGATGTAACCAGGCTGTGCACTGACCATGAGTGACGGTTGGCCTGTTGCTTTTGTGTGACCACCAGGGAATGACTGAACAGGGCAGAGCTGGACTGTACCTGATTTTATCTTGGTTTGCAATGTCATGAGACGAGAAGAGAAGTAGGTTTTTTTTTATTTCTATTTAACTTTTTTTTTTTGAGGATGTCACTTTGGGCTCTTTTACCTGCCAGCCTTTTTATTGGCACCATTTCTGGTGCTTGGATTGTGTGAGTATCAATGAAAGTAATGAGACAAACACACACACACACACACACACGCATATATATATATATATATATATATATATATATATGTAAACATGTGTACAAAACCATGTATCTCAATGTATTTTTGTCGTTTTTTAGTTTTTAACATAATTAAAAAAAAAACCTGTTGCCCTTTACATTGAGTGTAAGTTTCACATGAATGTACTATATGAAATGGCACAAAATGACTTACATTTAAAGTAAAGTATGTTTTTTCCTTCTCTAAAGTTACGATATGTGTAATACATATATTTAACAATTTATGATAGAAAACATTATTCATATGTAGATGGCGTATATATGCCAGCTTAACGTTATATAGAAAGGTTTTTATCTTCTTTGTTTCTTAAACATACGTCCTAATGAAGTGAAAATGAGTATAACAGCTAACTATACTAATGCAGATGTAAGCTGTTCAATAAAATCATTTAAACATGAAATCAATGAAAGTTTTACTCCCCAACACATTTGCATACTTTAATATTCAAAATCAAACAGTTTCCTGTAAAAAGTTACTATTTTAGAGATACAAGGTTATGCTTATATATATATATATATATATATATATATATATATATATATATATAAACCTCGTATCTCCAAAATGGTAACTTTCATCATGAAATTTACATACAATGTAAAGGGCAACAGGCATTTTCAGATTATGTCAAAAACTGAAAAATGACAAAAAATGGAGATATGAGGTTTTCTTCCAACAACAGCGATATATACACTGTTGCGCCAAAACCTCATATCTCAAAAATGGTAACTTTTAATAGAAGTTACTGCTGGAATTATTATTAATAAGCAATTTTGCACCTTTTCTGTTGGTCCATTCATTGTGAATTTTTCACACAATGTAAAGGACGGCTGTCATGAAGCTGAAGATGTTGTTCCAATGACTGCAGCGTATAATATAATAGAAATATAATATATTATATAATATATAGAAATATATATAGAATGGTTGACAGGGAGAGTGTTTGTTTATTCCTTTGTTTGTTCATTGTCTCTAAAAATAAGTTCACCATCTTAATTTGAGTTTTATTTATTTCTATAGCACTGCTGCGCTGAACTGTCTTATAGTATTATGGAATATGGAATAATTATATCTCCCATGTCTTTTTGAATTTTCACAAAGAATGAAAATGAATAGCTCATATATGCTCAGCCTGTATTTTACTGTAGTTTAGAAAACACTCCAATGAATGAGCAGCAGTCGTTTTGGAAGGTTTGTGGGGTGAAGCAGGTTCACGAGAAGTATTCAAACTCATGCAAACAAAATGATGAAACAGCTGGACTACAATGATCAACATCTGTAGCATTGAAAGCGGCAGTTATGTTTTACTCTAATGCATCTCAGGACAAACTGAAGTAATCAGCGTTTCTGTGATGCTCTAAAGTCACGGTTTGAGGTGGTGTTACTTCAGAAAGGATTTCTCAGAGTGAGATGAATGTCAGGCCTGCATTAAGCAAATAGTAGCGCTGATATCAGGAGATCCCACGCCTGTGATGATATGTTATCATTATTGTGAAAAATTACATCACACTATGCTTTTTTATCACAGTGGGTATGATCAGTACTTCTAAAACACTGAGCAACTGCATGGACCATAAAAAGACATACTTAGTCCAGTTACAGTGAGCCTGTAAACAACAAGTAGCTGATTGGATCTCAGCTCATAATGACATCATCTTATTATATTCATGTATTTTTACTAGTTGTTTCATTTTTCCTCCTGTCCCTTCTAAAATTTTGGCAACAGCTGAAAAAAAACCTATATAACACCTTTCTAAAAAACCTGTATATAATTACGTGTTGAAATACCATGAACGTCCCTGTCAACAGTTTGGGGACACCTTTTTACCTTGTGTTGTTTTCTTTTTTTCACCCAGACTGAAGTAATGTTTGACTTCCACTCCCCCTGCAATGGGGCAAAGGTTTAGTGATCATAAAACAACTACGTACCAGGGATTTGGGTATATTAAAGCAATAAGCCACTGGAGGCCGTGCATTACGGTGATTTTATCATGGGAAGGGTGTTCTTAGGCACAACGTAACGCAGGCAACATAAAATATGATAAAATGCACAATTTTATCAGAAAAAAAGTTTTAGTTATTATTCATAATAATCGACATAAACAAGTATTGCCAAGTATTCTGGCAAGAAATGTAGTTCCTTTAGCGTGTGGACCGCTGAATGAGGAGAACATTCGGTCCATGAGTCTTATTTTGCACCAATCCAGCAGCGCCCTCTTCTCACACTGGGGCTGAATCTCAAACGGCTCCCTGCTCCCTACATAGTGCACTACGTAGGAGTTTAAATACTGCATCCTGCAGCCCAACAGTGAATAATATAGCTAAAAATAGTGATTTGGGACTCAGACACATCCACACTCGATATTGATGCACTGTTTGGCTGTAGAGTCTAGAATATCTGAGCTTTCATAGCTAGAACACTATTTAGGGAATTTAGGGAGCACGGAGCCGTTTGGGATTCAGTCTGGGTTTGACGCGACTTCTGACTGAAACATGAACATTTAAAGCACGTAATCTGTTCAAGTGACATTTTTATTCTTTGTACTGCTGTTTTACAGTTAATCATACCGTAAGTGCTTTAATTCATGCCTATGATATTAATGATGGAGTTGTTTTGCATGTTTGCTATCTTTTAGCCTGTTTGGCTAGCTGACCAGCCCAGTTCTAGTTAAGAACATAAGTTGTCAGCCCCTCAGTTTAAACAAAAAACAGTTCTTCCTTCATCAGTACATTTTCCATTAACAGCAGAAGGGTTTTTCATGCCGCGGTGCAGTGATACAGAGTTCAGTCGCTGCAAGTCATAGGTGAGTCATAGGTGGTCATAGGTGAGCATATATTGTGCATTTTACAATGGCTTCTAACGCGGCTCAGCCAATCAGATTTTAGCACCGGAACATTCCATTTTATAATTATCTTCAACACAGCTTTATAAACATCATAGTGTTTTCCTCAGTGTAAAGAACAACAGGCACGTGCACAGGTAGACCCCACAGGGGGGCTTGAGCCCCTGCAAATTCATCTTCAAGTGCCTTCTTGGTTGGTGTGCATAATAATCATCTTAAATATGGCTGTTGTTAAGGATCTGTTTAAACAAGGCTCAGCTTAATCTTGTTCTGGCAACAGAGCTTGTGAATCTGCTTGGGTTCCATCGCCCCCTCTGGTGCAGTACAGGCCACCTGTGGAGTATCTCTGACCTGTCACGCATCACCACAGTGCAGCAACAAATTAACAATAATGTTTCTTTAAGAAACCCTTAGGGACTCTATGATCCCAAACAAACAGCAGTAAGAGGCATTTATAACATTTTGTTATTGTAAAAGGTTCATGTTGGACAGCATAGTGAGTAACACTGCAGTTTTGTATGCTGGAGACTGGGGTTCAAATCTCTGTTAGAACAGTAAAGCTAGCATTTTTGGCTGCTTTGGGGACAAAAACTCTTAACACTGAAGCCCCTGCCTCCCAAAATGTCTGTGCACAGGCCTGAAGAGCAGGTTTTGCCTAAATAATGATCTTACCCATATGGAAAGAATAACATATTTCAAATGTAGTGATCAAATATATTTTTGCAATGTATGAAAATGGCTAAAATATATTTGTTAAATATATTTTAAAAATGCATTTATTTGTTATAATGTAGTATGTACATTATATATTCATTATGTATGTAGTTATAATTAAGGTTACAGGTAGAACTAAATATACATGAGCTGAATGAACAGAATTGACTTCTGTGATCTGCACTGTACTTTACATTAACCATGTATGAGTGGATCAGACACAGCAGTGTCCACGCACTGTCCACTCTATTAGACACTCCTACCTTGTCAGTCCACCTTGTAGATGTAAAGTCAGAGACGATAGCTCATCTGCTGCTGCACAGTTTGTGTTGGTCATCCTCTAGTCCTTCATCAGTGGTCACAGGACGCTGCCCACAGGACGCTGTTGGCTGGATGTTTTTGGTTGGTGGACTATTCTCAGTCCAGCAGTGACACTGAGGAGTTTAAAAACTCCAGCAGCACTGCTGTGTCTGATCCACTCGTACCAGCGCAACACACACTAACACACCACCACCACGTCAGTGTTACTGCAGTGCTGAGAATGATCCACCACCCAAATAGTACCTGCTCTGTGAGGGTCCATGGGGGTCCTGACCACTGAAGAACAGGGTAAAAGGGGGCTAACAAAGTATCAGAGAAACAGATGGACTACAGTCTGTAACTGTAGAACTACAAAGTGCACCTATATAGTAAGTGGAGCTGATAAAATGGACAATGAGCGTAGAAACAAGGAGGTGGTCAGAATGTTATGCCTGATCGGTGTATTTTGGCATGGACTGCAATGTATTTGAAATGTATTTTAAATATATGAAAATGACCATATATTTCTTTTCGGAACTGTTATTAAAAGCACATATAAAAATGTTTGGTCCAAAAGGTGGTATAAAGACCTGAAAGGTTTGAGTGCTGCTGCATGCTGACATCACAACAAGGGAAGGAAACGTGTAGCCTTTGGCTAAAACAGCTTTCTGTTCGATGTGTTGAGTTGTGGCAAACCGGCAGAGAAAACATGCTGGAGGTCCCCAAATGTTTGACAGGCAGTGTAATTAATAATGAGCTGAGTCAGTGTGAGTGAGCAGAGCTTCATTAGCTTCTCCATGGACTGAGGAGATCTCAAAAGATCTCTGACTCATTGCATAAGGATTGAAAGTCTTCACTCAGTCTGTTGTGGATTTCTCTTAATGTTTTACTCGTCGTCCGTGGACGTCTGTTATCAGTGTCTTCTCCTTTTTAATGAGCCGTTTGTGAGAACGTTCAGATTTTGTGTGCTATTCTCTTCTCTCTCTCCTTCACACACACTTTATCCCACTTTTTCTTTCTTCCTTTCTTTACAGATATGCTATGGCACTCTACAACCACCATGTCTGTCCGGTGAATAACTGGTAAAGCGCTCTCACCTCAGTCACTTCCACATACAGTTCAACATCCACAAACAATTATGTCGCTGTTGTCGGAAGAAAACCTCGTATCTCCAAAATGAGAACTTTACAGGAGAAGGAAAAAACATACTTTACTTTCAATGTAAGTCAATGGAACCAGAATTTTTTCCAAGTCATTTTGGGCCGTTTCTTTTAGTCCATCACTCATGAAATGTACAATGTAAAGGACAACAGGCATTTTTATGTTATGACAAAAATGGAGATACAAGGTTTTCTTTCGACAACAGGGATATACAAATGACATACAGTACTGTGTAAAAGTCAGAGAGCACCATTCATGTGCTTAATTTCCAGTCAAAACAGCCATTAAGTACAAGTTATTCAGTTTTCAGGAGATATTTCTGAGATAATCCCCTTGCATAAGGAAGGAGAAAATTAACGGAAAATTGGAGTTTCCAAAACTGGAGTTCAAAATAATTAAAAACTACAGAGAAAACGGGGCTCCTAACAACCACCTGGAAGAGCTGGTCGACCCCAAAACTGCCCCCATCAGATAAACAGCACTTAAAGCTTTCATCTCTGAGAGAGAGGAGAAAATCAAGCTGCTTCAGATTTGAAAACATCCACAGGTGTTTCTGTCCATCCTTCCACTGTGAGAAGACGACTCAGCGCTGTGGGTCTGAAAGGATGTGTAGCTGATCAAGAAGAACCTCACTGAGAAAAGGAGACGGACACATCAAACAAAGCAGCCGAACTAGCTACTGTTCTAATTTAGACTGATTGATTGCCTTTGGGGATTCATTCAGGACACACAGCATTATCGCAGAATTAGGCAATAAATTAATTTATCAAACAAATCTACTGAGAACAAACTCCTTTACCAGCACGGTAAGTGATAAAACGTTGTGCACTGCTTTGTTGTGGTTTGTTGTGTGAAACGGTGTGCAATGGGCTTTGAGGTACACTGCCTGGCCAAACAAAAAGTCACACACTCTAATATTTCGTTGGACTGCCTTTAGCTTTGATTACAGCACGTATTCGCTGTGGCATCGTTTCCACAAGCTTCTGCAATGTCACAACATTTATTTCTGTCCAGAGCTGCATTAATTCCTCCCCAAGATCTTGTATTGATGATGGGAGATTTGGACCACTGCGCAAAGTCTTCCCCAGCACATCCCAAAGATTCTCAATGGGGTTCAGGTCTGGACTCTGTGGTGGCCAATCCATGTGTGAAAATGATGCTCCCTGAACCACTCGTTCACAATTTGAGCCCGATGAATCCTGGCATTGTCATCTTGGAATATGCCCGTGCCATCAGGGAAGAAAAAATCCATTGATGGAATAACCTGGTCGTTCAGTATATTCAGGTAGTCAGCTGACCTCATTCTTTGGGCACATAACGTTGCTGAACTTAGACCTGACCAACTGCAGCAACCCCAGATCATAGCACTGCCCTCACAGTACGGTAGGCACTAGGCATGATGGGTGCATCACTTCAGCCGCCTCTCTTCTTACCCTGATGCGCCCGTCACTCTGGAACAGGGTAAATATGGACTCCTCAGACCCCATGACCTTCTTCCATTGCTCCAGAGTCCAATCTTTATGCTCCCTAGCAAATTGAAGCCGTTTTTGCTGGTTAGCCTCACTGATGAGTGTTTTTTAAGGCCACACAGCTGTTTAGTCCCAATCCCTTGAGTTCCCTTCGCATTGTGCGTGTGGAAATGCTCTTACTTCCACTATTGAACATATCCATGAGTTCTACTGTTGTTTTTCTATGATTTGATTTCACCAAACGTTTAAGTGATCGCCGATCATGATCATTCAAGATTTTTTCGACCACATTCCTTCCTCGAAGATGATGTTTCCCCACTGTCCTTCCACTTTTTGATAATGCGTTGGACAGTTCTTAACCTGATTTTAGTAGTCTCCTTAGATGTTTTCTCTGCTTGATGCATGCCAATAATTTGACCCTTCTGAAACATCTTTTCCACGACCACAGGATGTGTCTTTCGACATGGTTGTTTAACAAATGAGAAGCTACTCACTGCATCAGTTAGGGTTAAATAACTTGTTGCCAGCTGAAACATAATCACCCATGCAGTAATTATCCAATGGGAGGCTCTGACCTATTTGCTTAGTTAAATCCATTTTTTAAGTGTTTTTCTACAGACTTTAGTGCACAGTTTCTATTTATTTGCTTAGTTTAACATATTGAAAAGATAAAACATAAAATATCAAATGTGCCATAACTTTTGCACAGGCCACATTTTATGTTTTTTTTCTCCCAAGATGTTAAATAACCAGCAAATAAACAGTAATTGTGTAAAATGTGCCGAAGTTCTCTGTAGACTTATTTTTACTTAGAAAATCAACAAAACTGGAGTTTGTACTTCAGTGTAAGTGTTGTAAATTCCCTTTTTTTATCCAGCCCCCCTTGGAGAAGACCATCCGGCTGGCCAGGTTATTTGAGTTTGAGACCTTGATCCAAGCCAAATATGCACTTGTCGAGAAAAGGTTATGCAAGTTTTGCCATCACAGATGGAGCAGTGTTAATGTGAAAGGGTTAAAGTGTCACCGTTTAAGCCATCGTTACATTCCTGCCCAAACTGCTGAACGTCATCATCTCCATTTGTATGTACATATTCTAGCTATCTGTGAAAACCGTCCTTATGAAATCACTGTTTAATCAGAGACAGGTTAACTTGCATGCAGTCAAAGTATTGACTCAGAGTTTTATCAGAAGAAAAAACAAGGGGTCCACAAACAGGAAGCACAAATCATTAGGAGTTATATTGGGGTTGTAGACCTCTGTAGTCGTGTGGTCATTCTGTACTCGGCACCATGCTCTTATGCCCATATTAGGAACTCCGGGTCTGAGCTCCGTTTCTCCAGAATGAATAGGGTTTTCGAAAAATCGCCACTATCGCCCCTGTGGTAAATAAAAATGTTTAGAACCCGATCTGTTCTGTCCTGTGAACATTTTCCTCTCGAATATCACTGGATCATCTGAATTATAGGGTCGTTAAACTGTTGAAATATGAATATTGCTACATGTGAGCTAAAGCTACTGCACACCGAATTCACGTCATTAGACTGGCAGCCTCCTTAATCAGGTTGTCACCCCCTGGTAAACTGATTTAGGCTCTCAGAATATCCTCATTATTATTTTAATGCTGGTAACATTTTTTCTAAGGACATTTTCTCAGGACATGCGGCAGCTTTTTGTTCGACTTTTCCCGTTCCACCTTAAATGGTGCCGCAGTCACGTTATAAACTACTGCGCCATTTAAGGTGGAACGGGGAAATTCGAACAAGCAGCCGGAGAAAAAAAAGCTGACTCAGCTTCATGGAGGGCTGAAAGGCCTGATATGAGGAGGTTTCTCTATTTCCGCTGAACAGCTGAGTAACATTAACTTATTTTTGCTGTTTCACAGAACCGGCAGGTCAGTGTTTTGTCTCGTTTGCTGATGTTTGTGATAGCCAGTCACAGCTGCTGCACCATTTAAGGTGGAACGGGAACATTCAAACAAGAAGCTGTGAAAAAAGAAGCTAAATTCAGCCTCGTAGTTTAAGCCGGGGAGTATAAGGAGTTTTAGCCTATCAAAATATCCCACCTAGAGGTTTTATTTACGGGTTTACCTGTAATTAAGCGCTACAGTAGATCATTTCGATAAGGTAGCTCAGCTCATCAGAGCAGCGCCACAGCCTGCCTTAGTTTAGTGTAGCTTAGTGACATCAAACTGATGCGCAGTAGCTTTAGCTCGCATGTAGCAATATTAGTATTATAGCTCTTTAACGACCTTGTAATTCAGAGGATCCAGTGATGTTAGAGATAAGAATGTTCACAGGACAAAACGTATCGGGTTCTAACATGTTTATTTAACACAGGGGGCGCTAGAGGTGAATTTTTAGAAATCCCTATTCATTCTGGCCATAGAGAAATGGAGCTCAGACCCGGAGTTCCTAATATGGGCATAATGAGGACTACAGAATGACGCACGACTACAGTGCTCTATTGCTGATATTTCTTCTGTTTTTTCTTTTATTTTAAAGAAATTATATTTTAACAATTATTGGTAAGAAATGACATTTGAGTGTGCACATTTGTGTAATAATAATGATAAATAAAAACAATTCACTTTATTTAGTGCACCTTTTATACGAGTAGCAGCTCAAAGCAACACAATTCAATAACAATAATAATTCAATAATAAGTTCAAGTAAATTTCAATTAAAATGAAAATTAATGAATGAAGTTTTAGAAAATGTTTATATACAAATGAAGTTTTTGAGTATTACTCAAAATAAATAAATGCAATAACAGTCCATTTTAAAATGTATTTATAAAAATAAGGCAAACTAAATTAAAAAGATATAGTCGTGTGCAAAAGTTTGGGCACCCCTCTGGGGAGACTGACTTGGACTCTCCCTGGCTCCGCCCACTCTCCGCCTCTCACACACACCTGCAGCTCCTTTTGGACTCATTAAGACTGCTTTTTAAAACCCCTTTGTTTCCACTGTGGTTTTGTAAAGCCTCTGTGTTGCTACCTGTGAGTTCTGAGGCTGTTTATTGTGTTTTTCCTGTTTTTGACCTCTGCAAAGCTCTTTGGTTTCTGACTATGGATCTGTCTCTTTTACTGCCTGCCTGAATGTTGACCCCTGCCTGCTACGACGCCCTTAAAGTCACTTTGCTATTGCAACCTGACTCAGGTTGTTGTTATTGTTTTTTTCGAGTGGGAAGAAGTGACGACAACCTTTGCAGCAAATTATGATAAAAAATAACACGTTCTCTGCAAAATGTATGTACACTCACTTTGTATTTCATAGTTTGGACACCCTTCCAGTTATAAGGTCTCAAAACTTGTTAGGCCTTATTTGATTCTGTAGGCTTTAATTGACACTTTAGGACTGGTTAGACTGGTGAAGAATCATCATTGAGATGGTCCTTCCTCTCCACCATCACTCAGCCCAATGATAGCCAACACAGGCGTCTGTTACCTGAGGTAACAGAATTAGCTGTTAGCGTATTGAGCTGTTGCGTTAGCGGCAGTTTGAAAAGCTGCACTTTCTCGTCTTCACCCTTAAAGCTTGAGAGCATCATGTGATAGCAGGTGGAATTAGTAATGACTAAAGTGGGGCCTAATTGACTCAACTGGAGAGAAAACTGGGGACGAATATGTGAACTGAACATGAATCCCCAACGAAAGGTGGATTAGGGTTCACAAGGCCTCTCAATGTTTTCTGTATTTAGAGAGTTTGCAGAAGGCTCTGCGGATCTGCGGATCTAAGATTTCCATTTACATAAGATCTTGGAAAATAAACAGACAGATCTTCAGTGAGGCCTATGTGTGTTTGTGTGTATGTTCATGTATATATACATGTGTTTGTTCACTGTAGGGTGTATAACTCGTCATGTGAGGAGCGTCTGGTGGTGCAGACTGGACCTTTTCTCTGCTGCACGCTGGACAATATCCCACTTATCAGGTCAGTATTGAACACTTTACCCTTGCAGGACCACATTTTTGCTTATTTCATTATTACATAACATCATACAGCGTAACTCCAGACAATAGATAAGCACCCCCACACCCCACCCCACCCCCCTGCGCCCACCCCCCGAGCCCACCCACACCCAGAGGAACTCCACTCTGTGGAAAAAGAAAAACAAAATAACAAAATTACAAAAGAAGTTCTGTGGATCTTTCTGCTGAATTGGTTCAAAGTCGGAGTTCAAAACCCATTTTTGACTTTTAAAGCTGGTGTAGGTGACTTTGTAGAAAGGAGGGGTGAGCTAGTTTTTGGGAAAAATACCCTCCTGCCAAAGCCACACCCCAAAACACGTGAACGCACACAGCCTGACTACAATGCAGACATCCTCGAGGATACACACACACACACAGATTACATGACAAATACAAGATGAACATAGCTAGCTAGTCTACACCTACAGTGAGGCTAACATTAGCATTAGCCTAATACAGAATGACTACATAATTCAGGAAAATAACAAATTCCCCTCTAAATAACGCAAATAAAGATAAAAAGATAATAACCTGTCCAACAGAAAAACAGCAACCTTGTTGTCGTTTTCCTGGCTTTTCAGCTCCCTCAGGTTTCACCACTGTTGGAAAGCCACACCTATGGTCACTCTCTCGCTTTACCCTGCTTCTGTCTTTCTTATCTTTCTTTCTTTAGCAGTGTGAGTTGTTGTAGGTACTTGCATAACTTTCTTTCCCAGTCTTGTGAACCCAGCTCACTGTGTGTGTGTGTGTGTGTGTGTGTGTGTGTGTGTGTGTAGCAAATGAATACACATGCATGTGGGCAGATCATGGGGTGACAGGTAGACAAGCTGGTCAGCCATCTAATCTTTTTTTTTGGTCCAAATGAAATGACTGGAAACAGTCTTGTTACTATATAGGTGCACTTTGTAGTTCTACAGTTACAGACTGTAGTCCATCTGTTTCTCTGATACTTTGTTAGCCCCCTTTTACCCTGTTCTTCAGTGGTCAGGACCCCCATGGACCCTCACAGAGCAGGTACTTTTTGGGTGGTGGATCATGCTCAGCACTGCAGTAACACTGACGTGGTGGTAGTGTGTTAGTGTGTGTTGCGCTGGTACGAGTGGATCAGACACAGCAGTGCTGCTGGAGTTTTTAAACACCTCAGTGTCACTGCTGGACTGAGAATAGTCCACCAACCAAAAATATCCAGCCAACAGCGTCCTGTGGGCAGCGTCCTGTGACCACTGATGAAGGACTAGAGGATGACCAACACAAACTGTGTAGCAGCAGATGAGCTATCGTCTCTGACTTTACATCTACAAGGTGGACTGACAAGGTAGGAGTGTCTAATAGAGTGGACAGTGAGTGGACACAGTGTTTAAAAACTCCAGCAGCACTGCTGTATCTGATCCACTCAGACCAGCGCAACACACACTAACACACCACCACCACGTCAGTGTTACTGCAGTGCTGAGAATGATCCACCACCCAAATAGTACCTGCTCTGTGAGGGTCCATGGGGGTCCTGACCACTGAAGAACAGGGTAAAAGGGGGCTAACAAAGTATCAGAGAAACAGATGGACTACAGTCTGTAACTGTAGAACTACAAAGTGCACCTATATAGTAAGTGGAGCTGATAAAATGGACAATGAGCATAGAAGATTGGTGTATAAATTACCTAAATGAACTTTAGGTTTCATGGGGTCAGGTAACTGTAATAGCCTCCTGCAACAGCAGAGACTTTCACGTAGCAGCGCAACCACTGAAATGTGTAACATCTTTGGAATACCAGTCATTTGTGACCCCTGATTCAGAACAGGAAAAAAAGGAGTATGTTTTAATGTCCAGTCCATCTCATGAATCTGCAGTGTCTCTGCTCAGGAATGGAATGTAAACGTGCATTGGATTATCCTTTAAAACGTCCCTTTTTCAAAGCGCTACAGTACAGAGTCTGGACTTGCTCAGTGACGCTTTCCAGTTTTCTCTGCAGTCATGTGCGTTTTGCTGTGGGGGAAGAGCTGGACCTCTAGTTCAGGCCATAAATATCAAACCCACACAGCACTCATTAGCAGTAATGCTAACCAGTCAGCGCTCAGTAGCAGTAATGCTAACCAATCTGCACTCAGTAATGCAAACCAATCAAATCAAATCAAATCAAATTTATTTGTATAGCGCTTTTTACAACTGATGTTGTCACAAAGCAGCTTCACAGAAATCCGTTTAGAACAAAGTTTCAACATGAAATGTAAATCCTCCAGGTGAGCAAGCCAGGAAAAACTCCCTCAGAGCTGAGGAAGAAACCTTGGGAGGAACCAAGGCTCACATGGGGGGACCCATCCTCCTCTGGTCAAACTACATACAAAATTATTATTCTACTAATATTAATAGTAATAGTAGTAATAGTTAGGAGACTTCAGTGTAGAGTGGGCAGCCAGTCCAAGGCAGGTGGCGGTGACTGGGTTGTGGGCAACTGGTCTGAAGCGGGTAGCCGGAGAGCTCTACAAACAATCATCCAGCAGTGTCCGGCCGGACAGGTGAGCAGTCGTTTTCTCGGAAGAAAGGTAGGGAAATGGAGTTAGTTTAGTTCTGTATGGGTGTATGTATAGTAGTATGTAAAACATTTCCAGAGTGTGGCTAACGACTCCGGCAGATCTGACTATAACAGCTTAACTACCAAAAGCTAAACTAAACAAATGAGTTTTCAGCCTAGATTTGAATATTGCGACTGAGTCTGAGTCCCGAACATTTTCTGGAAGATCATTCCAGAGTTTGGGGGCTTTATAAGAAAAGGCTCTTCCCCCAGATGAAACCTTCTGAATTCTGGGAACTATTAAAAAGCCAGCACTCTGTGATCTGAGTAATCGTGGTGGCTCGTAAAGGGAAATAAGGTCTTGCAGGTACTCAGGAGCCCATGTAGGGCTTTATACGTCAATAAAAGAATTTTGTAATCTATACGGAATTTAACAGGCAGCCAATGGAGTGATGATAGAACTGGACTGATATGATCAAATGTTCTAGTTTTAGTGAGAACCCTGGCTGCAGCATTTTGAACTAGTTGAAGTTTACTTAAATTCCTGCTGGTGCATCCTGACAGTAATGCGTTACAGTAATCTAGCCTTGAGGTAATAAAGGCATGTACTAATGTTTCTGCATCGTGCAGCGATAAGGCATTTCTTATTCTGGCATTAGTAGCAGTAATGCTAACCAGTCAGCGCTCAGTAGCAGTAATGCTAACCAGTCAGCGCTCAGTAGCAGTAATGCTAACCAATCAGCCCTCAGTAGCAATAATACTAACCAATCAGCGCTCAGTAGCAGTAATGCTAACCAATACTAATGCACCTTTTATAGGACTTGTGATAGCATGTTAACACTAATCAGCACTCAGTAGCAGTAATGCTAACCAGTCAGCGCTCAGTAGCAGTAATGCTAACCAGTCAGCGCTCAGTAGCAGTAATGCTAACCAATCAGCATTCAGTAGCAGTAATGCTAACCAATCAGCACTCAGTACAGGTAATGCCAACCAATCAGCACTCAGTAGCAGTAATGCTAACCAATCAGCACTCAGTACAAGTAATGCTAATCAATCAGCACTCAGTAGCAGTAATGCCAACCAATCAGCATTCAGTAGCAGTAATGCCAACCAGTCAGCACTCAGTAGCAGTAATGCCAACCGATCAGCACTGAGTGGCAGTAATGCCAACCATTCAGCTCTCAGTTGCAGTAATGCTAACCAATCAGCGTTCAGTAGCAGTAATGCTAACCAATCAGCACTGAGTGGCAGTAATGCGAACCATTCAGCTCTAAGTAGCAGTAATGCTAACCAATCACCGTTCAGTAGCAGGAATACCAACCAATCAGCACTCAGTAGCAGTAATGCCAACCAATCGGCACTGAGTGGCAGTAATGCCAACCATTCAGCTCTCAGTAGCAGTAATGCTAACCAATCAGCGTTCAGTAGCAGGAATGCTAACCAATCAGCCCTCAGTAGCAATAATACTAACCAATCAGCGCTCAGTAGCAGTAATGCTAACCAATACTAATGCACCTTTTATAGGACTTGTGATAGCATGTTAACACTAAGCTAACGCTGGTACTAATAAACATTTTTGGCTGTTCTAGATGAAACATGAACATTTAAACCTTGTGAAAGTCATTCCATGTGTTTTATCTGAAGCTTGTAACAGACATTAACACATATCTGAGGTTGTATGCATCAGTTTTCAGTAAAGAGTCCTGCATAGAGCTCCCGCCACCGTCTTCCTTTACTAACAACTAACCCAAACCTGCAAACCTGCTTAGACTACAGCTCGTATTCACAGGCGGTGACGTATCTAGAACTTCCAGAAAGACTAGAGTAACATTTTATCCTCACAAATTGGTTCCATTGTAAATCAAAGCATGACTGGTTCCTCTGTCACTTTCTAAGTATGTTGGTAGTTATTCTAATGTGTAAGGCCTTCTGTTGAGCTCCTGAAGTCCCAACCAATGGGAAAGCTCACTTGGCTGTATTGATCTAGATACCACAAAGAAAACAATTCTGACTGGACAGTTTTCCATTGGGTGTTTGAAGATTTTAACCATTTTTTCCAAATAAAACTTAGCAATGAAATAAGAATATTATTGTTGTAGTCCATAAGTAGATTCCACATTTAAATTTCAGCTGGGAATACACTCACTTACAGTTCGTTAAATTTTCTCCCTCTTTTTCTCTCTTGTTTACTTTCTGCAGCAAATGTGGTGCTTTTCCTCCTGAGAGTTGCCTGTTCAGTCTCCTCTGCAGTATTGGATCCTTTATGGGTGAGTGGAGGCAAATTCTGTTCAGTTTATTTTCCATATTTAATTACTTACCAAAGTCAGAGATTCAGCACTCAGTAGCAGTAAGACTAATCATTCAGCACTCAGTAGCAGTGATACCAACCAATCAGCACTCAGTAGCAGTGATACCAACCAATCAGCACTCAGTAGCAGTAATGCTAACCAATCGGCACTCAGTAGCAGTAATGCTAACCATTCAGCACTCAGTAGCAGTAATGCTGACCAATCAGCAGTGATGCCAACCAATCAGCTCTCAGTAACAGTAATGCCAACCAATCAGCTCTCAGTAGTAGTGATACCAACCAATCAGCACTAAGTAGCATTAATGCCAACCAGTCAGCACTTAGTAGCAGTAATGCCAACCAATCAGCTCTCAGTAGCAGTGATAGCAACCAATCAGCACTCAGTAGCAGTTATGCCAACTAATCAGCTCTCAGTAGCAGTAATGCCAACCAATCAGCGCTCAGTAGCAGTAATGCTAACCAATCAGCGCTCAGTAGCAGTAATGCCAACCAATCAGCACTAAGTAGCAGTAATGCCAACCAATCAGCACTCAGTAGCAGTAATGCCAACCAATCAACACTCAGTAGCAGTAATGCTAACCAATCAGCAGTGATACCACCCAATCAGCTCGCAGTAGCAGTAATGCTAACCAATCAGCAGTGATACCAACCATTCAGCTCTCAGTAGCAGTAATGCTAACCAATCAGCAGTGATACCAACCATTCAGCTCTCAGTAGCAGTAATGCCAACCAATCAGTGCTTAGTAGCAGGAACGCTAATTAATCAGCACTCAGTAGCAGTGATGCTAATCAGTCAGCTGTGCAGTCATAATTTTGATATAATGAGGGAAATAGGAAGTTTTTGATTGTACCGTTAGAGCAGTTTGGGTGCGGTTTAGAGGGAGCGTATCCTTGTTAGCAGCTGATTCCACTGCAGTCCAGCACCAAACGTTTACCAAGTTGTCCCCAGATGTGTATTTTCATTACGTCCAGCCCACCGAGACTGCAGTCTCCCAGGAATGAGAACCATTCTGTTAGATGACCTGGTTATGGGGTGGGATGCTGTGAGAACACTGTGAGTGCCAGTGACCACAGAGAGATGGAAGGGGAATAAAAATAATGTCAGTTTATTACTGTCTTTCTTCACTGGCAACTTGGCATGCAAGTGAAGACAGCTGAACTGACATGAGAAAGAGGGGAAAAGACAGGCATTCCAAGGAGAGAGGAGGATCAGAAAGTCAGAGAAGAAAGAGAGAGTGTAGAAAATAGCTCTAACAGCAGAACCCAGAGTCCCAGTGGGAAAATGTAGGCAGTGCCGTTTAATTTTCACACAGATTTTTGTAGGAAAAGAGGGAAGCTCACATTCTGATGAATTCCTGGTGTTTTAAGGATGGAATAATGAAGTGATAAAGCTGGGAACACTTTTCCCTCCTCAAATTTTCACATCAAATAAAACAATTAGCAGTAGATAACTACGGAGCCCCGGAGGACATGGGGTAAAAAAATATTTTGAGGGAATGTTTTGCAATTTATACATTTTTTCATTTTCTTTTGTTTGTGTGCAAGTAGAATGCAATGATATGCAAATCATGTAAACCATTTTTTTTAAGGAAAACGCTACAAAGACAACATATCAAATGTTGAAACTGAGAAATTTTTATTGTTGATTTTTTGTTTATTTATTTTTTTAAATATATGCCCATTTTGAATTTGATGCCAACAACACATTCCAAAAAAGTTGGGACGGGGGCCTGTTTACCACTGTGCTTCATCACCTCTTCTTTAACAGCACTCTGTAAGTGTTTGTGAACTGAGGAGACACTGCTGTAGATTTGAAAGTGAAATGTTTTCTTCTTCTTGTTTGATACAGGATTTCAGCTGCTCAACAGTTCGGGGGCTATTTTTTGTGTTTTTTATTTCATAATGTGCCAAATGTTATCAGTGGTGACCGCTCTGGACTGCAGGCAGGTCAGTTTAGCACCCGGACTCTTTTAATACAGAGCAATGCTGTTGTAATACATGCAGAATGTGGTTTAACATTGTCTTGCTGAAATAACCAAGGCCTTCCCCGAAAAAGACGTCGTCTGGAAGGCAGCATATGTTGCCAAAACATGTATATATTGTTCAGCATTAATGGCGCCTTCACAGATGTGCACGTCACCCATACCACGTGCAAATATTTTAAAAAAAAATCTTAGTTTCAACATTTGTTATGTTGTCTTTGTACTATTTGCAATTAAATATAGCATTTAAATGATTTGCATATCATTGCCTTTTGTTTTTATTTACATTTTGCACAGCATCCCAACTTTTTTTTGGAAATGGGGTTGTAGTAGATACAGGCCGTTTTATTTGTCCTTTGCATAAGGAGGCTACCAGCTCCCTGAAACTGTCTGATGGGTTTTCATGTGCTTACATTTATGTGATAATGGCTAATGGCTCATTAAATTTGAGCATCAGAATCAGCAAACAGCCTGCAGATTCATCTGTGTAGCTGCAGTTTTGTGGTGAAATGAAAGACGACAATAAACTACAACCACAACCTTCACTAAACTGCACTTCTTAATGATTATATTTAACAGAGGTGAAGCCACAGCTCAGCTGCTTATTTTCCTCTCATATCAAGCTGCAGAGTTAGGGCCCGTCACACAATTACAGGAAGAAATGTTAAGTGTCAACATTTCAACATCCTCAAATTAAGAACCTGTATCTACTATATTTATTTCGTTTGTGCACGATCAAAAGAAAATGAGAGAATGAATTGTTAATGGTGGGAACAAATTAAGAAATCATTGCCATGAATAAAAGAAAACGTACAAACTGCAAAACGGTCCCTTAAAATAACCCTTATTTTCACTCCGTAGATAACAGAAGAACTCTAGTGTGCAAAAAAAACTTAGTAGCTACTGATATTGAAACTCCAATCTTGCGCTCTTCCTAACTGGCCACTTTATTAGAAACACCTATCTTGTGCTTCCACTCTATGGCCATTTTATTAGAAACACCTACCTTGTGTTTCTACTAACTGGCCACTTTATTAGAAACACCTACCTCGTAGCTCCGCTATATAGGTGTACCGTTACAGGCTGTAGTCCATCCATTGCTGCACAGTTTATCTGCTCCCTCTAGACCATTCTTTATTGGTCAAGTTCTGACCGCAGGACCACTGTTATCCAGATATTATTTGGGATTTGGGTGGTTGTCCGCTCTCAGCTCAGCAGTGACACTGAGGTAGTGTGTGGTGTTGGTATGAGTGCATCAGACACAGTGATGTTGCTGGAGTTTTTACACACGTCAGTGTCACTGCTGTGCTAGGAATGTCCTCCCCACAAAACTTTCTAGCCAAAGGCCGCCCTGTGGTCAGAAACTGGCCCATGATGAGTGAGTTAGAAGGTGGCTAGCCTGTATTTGTACATGTGTATAGTAAAGTGATAAGGTAGCTGTGTCTAATAAGGTGAATGAAAGGGAATGATGAATGTTTTATTGATGAAAGCAACTGATTGGTTTCTGTCTGTTTTCCAGTGATGCTGATTGGTCTGCTCCGCTACGCTCAGGTGATCCACAGACAGCAGAACAGTCTGTTGAATATGCTGGGCCTTTGCACTGGCTGGCTTTGTGCTGCAGGGCTCACTGTAGTGGGTAACTTCCAGGTAAAATAGCCCAAGAGAGAGAATTTACCAGTTTACTGGGTTCTATGAGTGTCAATGTTACATGAGTTTCAGCTGGAGAATTTGTTTTTCCTGCTTACACAGTAGTGAATGAAGTCTTGCTAATACAAGTCTTGAAGAATAAACCAATAAGCCACACTATAAACGTGATAAAGCACATTACAGTGCTTTTATTGTGGTTGCACTGTGTTATTAGCAGAGACAAAATACAGTATGGCTGAAAACACCAATGTTCAGTAGCTAATGTAATTTCTTACTAATAAACACAATAAACACCAAGCATCTCCCGTCAAGCGTTAACAGTAAGCTATTGTGGGGTCAGTGTAGAATGTGATGCGGGGAAACATTGGGCTTTAAATGCTCTTTTATTGAACAGTCAACAAAGGAGAACCTCCGCTCAGCGCTAACCATGCAGCTAGTCACTTCTAACCATACATCTACACTTCATGGTAGGTCCTAACACTGACTCCACTGCCCCACCGTCCAGCACAGAATGACACAACGAACACATCTGCACATCATTAAGTTAACAGCAATAACTTTTTGACATGGAAGGTCTTTTTCCGGGCCACGTATGCCCCGATCCCATGGCAGCACCGGCCGGTGCAGTGAGTAGCACGTGCCATCCCAGCTCCTCCGGCAGCAAATGCCCCAGCGCCAACTCCTCTTGCACTGCATTCTTGAACATGCCTGCCAAGCCATTGTGCTCCATCTCCAACTCTTCCATCCATTCCTCAGGAATCAGCTGCATAGCTTACCACACCGTTGATGCCCACTCAAAGCAGTGCTGGAGGGCTGCGCTCAACGACAACAGGTCACTGTGCTGCTCTGCTGGCAGGTTCTCGGTGCCGGCCGCTGACCGCTGACCAAGTGTCCTCGCTGCCACATCTTTCGCTGTCCTCCTGCTGGGCTCCGCTGGCCTTCTCTGTGCATGCCTCAAGCACTCACATGGCAGCGCAAGCCAGTGGGGAGATGCCAAATTGCTTGCTAAACAGCATCAGTTGGCACGTGGCTTATTGCTTTGGTGAACATTTAGAGGACAGCTGCCCTGGAAAAACTTCTAATTGTTGGTTTTAAGCCATTAAATATGTTTACAATTTGTTTTAAAAGATTGAGTCTTGCTCTTACCTCTCACATTAGACTCCCACTTCAAGATAAGATAAAATAAGATAAGATAAGACAAGAAAAGATATAAGAAGACTGACTGACCAGTTCCTAATGATCTGAGAGTTCTGTTCGGCTCATATCGCTGCAGCAGGTCAGATAAATGCACTGCTCCTGCACCATTCAGACATTTATAGAGCAGTAACAGCTCCTTAAAGTCTGTTCTGGAACAGACTGGTAGCCAGTGTAAGGATGTAAGAAAGGGGGGGTCCTTCTTTCCCCCCTAGTGAAACTCTGGCAGCTGCATTCTGAACCATTTTGTCTTCTTTGGGGGACCAGTTAAGAGACCATTACAGTGATCAATCCTGCTAGAAATAAAGGCGTGGATGAGGTTCTCCAGGTCTGCTTTAGTCAAAGCTGATTTTGTAACTGCTTTGACACGACTGCTAAAACAGATCAAAGTCAATTACACCAAGGTTACGTACTAGTTCTTTAGTTCTTTTTTAGTCCCACAGTGGGAATATTCACAGTGCTACAGCAGCAAAGTACCAGCAAGGCACTCAAGAAAAGAAGTAACAAGAAGAGAACAAATAAGGTAATTAACCAAGTTAATTACTTAACTTGTTACTCATTACTGTATAGACAATATGTATAATACTAGAAAAAAGTATATAAACTCTATCCTTCACAAATGTAACAATATAAACATTATAAATAGAAAAGCAAAGAAATCTGTTTAAAAAAATGATAATTTAAAGTCCTGCACCTGCCATAATTGAAGACTCGCAGAACTTTCTCATGCATTCTTCCAGAACAAACTCTACATGGGGACGTCACAAACGTGTGATGTTTGCCTTCACCGTGTAAGACTTTCTCACCTGCTGTTACAATTTACTGCAGGTTTGATGGAACCCATACTCCCAGGCCCCGAGGCTGGACTTTTACTGTGTTTATTGCTATTGTATAATCTTGCTTTGATCACGTCCAGCAAAACAGCTCTTTGCGCACCAGGGCCCCTGATGGCTATCTATCTCCAGTGTGCTCGCATTGCATCCGCTGATTGTGTGCTAAATCAAAGACATGCTTTGCTTTTTGATCCTTCTCACTTTCCATAGCCACCCTGCAGTCCTGTAGGTGTGGTCCAGTGACTATTATGCAGAAAGTTCTGGTCCTTTCTCTGGTTCCTCATCTCTTTGGATGCTCACGTGTACCTGGGGCATCACAGTGTAAAGACTGGGTATACAAAACACAAAAAGGAGGAAAAGGAATGTGAGTTTTATGTCAGTCGTGCACATTTGTTATTGCTGGAATGAGTGATGGTCATGAATTCATTCCTCCTATTTGAAGAAATCTGCATAACTCAGTGTGTGAGATGTAAACAGAGTGATTCAGAGTGGGTTTGGTGTGAAATGGTTCAGATGTCTTTACAGTGGTGGTGATAGGAACCAGGGGTCGCCATGACTACAACACAAATATAGACATTTTATTTACTATCCAGAACCACCAGTGAACCTACACGAGTCTTCTGAGCTTATATGGAATGTTGATGATGGGAAATAGTGGAAAATCTGAAATAATAAGTTTTCTTTGGGGACTATTTTGTTATAAAACACCCTGCATGTATCCCTCCACCATGAATGGATTTTAAAAATCCATCTTAGACAAAACTTTATCTCAAAACTATCATAAAACAGTGTCTCAGTCATCAGGCAGTGAATTCACATGAATACTATTTCATGTAGGAACTTTCTGTGAGGGAGCTTTTAGAGGTGGACGTCTGGTTCCTATCACCACCACTGTGAACAGTTCTGACTCTGTAAGTTTCTCTAGAACAGAGCGTTTCACACCAAACCACTCTGAATGACTCTGTTTACATCTTAAACATTTAATCATGCAGAAATTTTGAAAAAAAAACATCATTTCCCCATTTAGTTTTTAGTTATGGGTTAAGGTAATAGGCTTGCTAATGTGGTTTCTGACACTGGTTTCTATAAACATATCAAAAGAATTAAAATGTAGAAATCACAGCCACCTTAAAGCCTGAATTTTGTCTGCACTTGTGTCCATTTTCATTTCATTTTCATGGACACAAGTGCAGTCATACGGTGTCAGAAGCCACATAAGCAAGCAGTGTACACTGTACACAATGATAATTAGTGGCTATAGGCTTCTATTAGCCACACAACTCCAGCATAAAACTAAAGAAGCAAACTTTAGACACAAAACATGTCTTGGCTGACTGGTTACATTTGGGGTGAAAACTTTGTAAATTACAACCCCATTTCCAAAAAAGTTGGGACGCTGTGCAGAATGTGAAGTAAGAACAAAATGCAATGATGTGCAAATCATTTAAACCATTTATTCTATTGAAAATAGCACAAAGAAGAGAAACTGAGAAATTTTGTTTTTTGAAAAATATTTGCCCTTTTTGAATTTTATGCCAACAACACATTCCAGAAAAGTTGGGACAGGGGCAACAAAAGGCTGGTAAAGTTGTGTAATGCTAAAATAACACCTGGTCGTTATTTGGCAACAGGTCAGTAACATGATTGGGTATAAATGAGCATCTCAGAGAGGCGGAGTCTTTCAGAAGTAAAGATGAGGAGGGGTTCACCACACTGTAAAAGACTGCACCATCAAATAGTGCAACAATTCAAGAATAACGTTTCTCAACATAAAATAGCAAAGAACTTTGTTGGCATCAAATTCAAAATGGGCATTTATTTCTCAAAAAACAATAAAATTTCTCAGTTTCAACATTTGATATGTTGTCTTTGTAGTGCAGTTTCCTTTAAAAATATGGATTTACATGGTTTGCATATCATTGCATCCTATTTTTATTTACTGCACAGCGTCCCAACTTTTTTGGGAATGGGGTTGTAGATTTCTTGCCAAACTATCACTTTCAGCCACCTCAAGCTGATGAGGATGACTTGAAAAGCTTGATCTGAGACGAGTAGAAGCTTCATGTGTTTAATTGGAAGCGTACACCGCTGTATGGGGTGGGAGGTGTATCTCTCCCTCACTGTTTGTTGTCATAATATCACTTGCCCAGGTTTTAAAAATGTCCTGTAGACTTCACGTGTTTTCTCGCTGGGGGTCAAAACATAACGGGCCAAATCCTCAGCCTTCAGCGTCCAAGCGTGTTTACAGTCGCTCTAAGCGTTCTATAGAAGTCCCCCACAAAGTTCAGACCACTGGGCTTGGTCTCAGAACTCTCCAGGTGCTGCATTCTTGCTGGTTCTGAGTGCTGTGTAGCTGCTCCAAACCCATTCCTCCTTCTGCGTCCATGCCCTGCACTGTCAGCAAGACTCCTGCAGTGGAATGTTTATTATAAACAGTTGTTGAAGTGAAGCCAGAGCTCAGTCCATGAAGGTCATCAGGTCCACAGACTCCGCTACTGTGGAGCAGTGGCACTTTCTCTGCCAGTACCCAGCCCTAGCATGTATCATGGGTGTTTTGGTTTGAGATAGCACTGACCAAAGCTGCTAAAAGGCTGTACAGAATACTGAGAGTTTCTGATTAAGGTTTATAAAGCGATGCTTAATGAATCTAGAAAATATTCATACTGTCCCACTAACATTCTGACCTCACATCTTTTTTGTGTGTTTTAAGGGGACATATTAGATTTTTGTCTGATGCTTTTCTAAGCTGTGGTCATATTTCATATTCATTTCCCCATGTTTGCAATTTGACAGAATGAGCTTTGCTTGAAAACCGCTTCACAAAATGAATGATTTTGTTTTAAATTGACTAAATATATTATACACCGATCAGGCATAGCATTATGACCATCCTTGTTTCTACGCTCATTGTCCATTTTATCAGCTCCACCCACTAGATAGGTGCTGACAGTACGTCACTGAAGTGCCCTTGAGCAAGGCACCTAACCCCCAATTGCTCCCTGGGCGCCGTGGATAGGGCTGCCCACTTCTCCGGGCAAGTGTGTTCACTGCCCCCTAGTGTGTGTGTTCATTAGTGTGCATGTACTGCACGGATGGGTTAAATGCGGAGGTCTAATTCCTCTGTGTGCAAACACAGTTGGCTAATGGTTCTGAATTGATTGAATTCAACAATGCAACATACTGTATTGTGTCATGCTGTGTCACAGTACACTGTATTGTATAATTCTGTATAGCAGCATATTGTATTGAATTGTATTGCAGCATATAAGACTGTATCAGACTGTATCACAGTGTATTGTATTGTACTGCAGCATATCATACTGAATCTAATTGCATTGCATGGGATCGTATTGTGTTGTATCTAATTGTACTGAGTTGTATTGCAGTGTATTGTATTAATATCATATTGTATCTCACTGTATCGTGTTGTATCGAATTGTGCTGCAGCAGATTGTATTGTATCTACCACAGTGTATCGAGATGTATATACAGGATACATCATTTTGTATCCCATTGTGTCCTATTGAATCATATCACAGCATGCCAGGTTGAGGCTAGTGTGTTAGCTTATAGTAAGAGTGTCAGATCAGGACACTGTAAGACACAACTCACAACTTTGATTTCAAATGTTGTACTTTTATGATGTTGAATGCTCTAATAAACTGAAAACATTAACATATCAACATATTAACATAAAGCACATATTGTGTCTACATAGCATTAAATCATATCAAATAGAATAATGAGTCATTACGCCACTGATATTCATTATTAATTAATTAATATATTACATGTATGTATTTAGATTTGTTAATAAAATGCCTACTTGATTAATCATTTATAGTAACATAATGTATGAAAGATGTATTTTAAATATGCATTGTTTATATTTTAATGAAGTTTAATTTATTATAATAGGACTATATCTCATTTTTATTCTATTTGTAAAATCAATGTAAGCAAGGCGACGCTGTTCACACGTTCTGCATATATAATCCCATTATAAAGTCATTCTGTAACCCCCCCCCCATTCTCTGTGTGCCTGTTCCAGGTTGACTTTGTGAAGGTTCTTCACTATGTGGGTGCAGGGTTGGCGTTCCCCAGCAGTCTGCTCTTCGTGTGTGCGCAGACGGTCCTGACGTACAGACTGGCCAAAACACAGAGAGACTTCCACACTGTCCACCTCAGAGCGGCTCTCAGCCTGCTCGCCTTGGTCACTCTCATCCTCAGTATCCTTTACTCTGTGTGTACACAATGTTGGAGCAGTTCATGTGTCATAGCTCCCTCTGGTGGGCTGGAATTGAAATCAGATTAGTCTGGATTGCAAATGACTAACTAAACTATACTGATCAGGCGTAACATTCTGACCACCTCCTTGTTTCTACACTCATTGTCCATTTAATCAGCTCCACTTACTATATAGGTGCACTTTGTAGTTCTACAGTTACAGACTGTAGTCCATCTGTTTCTCTGATACTTTGTTAGCCCCCTTTTTCTTCAGTGGTCAGGACCCCCATGGAGCAGGTACTATTTGGGTGGTGGATCATTCTCAGCGCTGCAGTAACACTGACGTGGTGGTGGTGTGTTATTGTGTGTTGTGCTGGTCTGAGTGGATCAGACACAGCAGTGCTGCTGGAGTTTTTAAACACCGCAGTGTCACTGCTGGACTGAGAATAGCGTCCTGTGACCACTGATGAAGGACTAGAGGATGACCAACACAAACTGCTATCGTCTCTGACTTTACATCTACAAGGTGGACTGACAAGGTAGGAGTGTCTAATAGAGTGGACAGTGAGTGGACACAGTGTTTAAAAACTCCAGCAGCACTGCTGTGTCTGATCCACTCGTACCAGCGCAACACACACTAACACACCACCACCACGTCAGTGTTACTGCAGTGCTGAGAATGATCCACCACCCAAATAGTACCTGCTCTGTGAGGGTCCATGGGGGTCCTGACCACTGAAGAACAGGGTAAAAGGGGGCTAACAAAGTATCAGAGAAACAGATGGACTACAGTCTGTAACTGTCGAACTACAAAGTGCACCTATATAGTAAGTGGAGCTGATAAAATGGACAATGAGCGTAGAAACAAGTCATTATGTTATGCTTGATCCGTGTATATTGTTATATATTGTTAAAGTTTGAAAACATACTTTTTACTCTGCAGTCCTTAAATGGATACTCAGCTGCAAAAACGGTCTGTTATGAATTCACTAGTTTTGTTACACAGTACAAATTCAGAACTCAAATTTGGGCTAAAAGGCCCATCCCTGCTTTAAATATGGGATTTTCAGATGACCCGAGATATTTTCACAGTACTGTATACCAAAACAAACTACCTATTCAACCATGATAGTGCATCACAGCCTGGAGTATTATTGCCTGACATTGTCAAATCTGTAATTTCTTTAAAAATGTAGCTCTTGATCCTTAACACTCTGTGTTCTAGGTGGGGTGTTTTTCGTGCAGGAGAGTTTTGCTCTGCAGCACGCGGCTGCGCTCTGCGAGTGGCTTTTCGCCATCGTTATTCTGCTCTTTTACGGCTCGTTCGTCTTTGAGTTCCGCTTCATATCTACAGACACTTTGGTGGTGCTGATCCAGAAAGGAGCAGCACTTCATCTCTCTCAGAATGACTGTAAGCTAGAGAGCGCCTAGCTCAACCTCTCCCACGGGAGCGATAGAGGACTACTAAAGTACACTGACCGGTCACATTAAGTCCACCTTCTTGTTTCCACACTCACTGTCCATTTTATCAGCTCCACTGACCATATCATTTCACTCTGTAGCTCTACAGTTACAGACTGTAGTCCATCTGTTTCTCTGCATACTTTGTTACCCTGTTCTTCAATGGTCAGGACCTCACAGAGCAGGTACTATTTGGGTCATTTTTAGCACTGCAGTAACACTGACGTGGTGGTGGTGGTGTGTTAGTGTGTGTTGCGCTGGTCTGAGTGGATCAGACACAGCAGTGCTGCTGGAGTTTTTAAACACCTCAGTGTCACTGCTGGACTGAGAACCAAAAACATCCAGCCAACAGCGTCCTGTGGGCAGCGTCCTGTGACCACTGATGAAGTCTGATCCACTTGCACCAGCGCAACACACACTAACACACCACCACCACGTCAGTGTCTCTGCATTGCTGATAATGACCCACCACCCAAATAGTCCCTGCTCTGTGGGGGTCGTGTGGGGGTCCTGACCACTGAAGAACAGGGTAGCAAAGTATCAGAGAAACAGATGGACTACAGTCTGTTACTGTAGAACTACAGAGTGAAACTATATGGTCAGTGGAGCTGATAAAATGGACAGTGAGTTTAGAAACAAGGAGGTGGACATAATGAAGTGGGTGTTCAGTGTATTTAGAGATCTGTGCTCAGTAGTAACCAGTCCTTCAGGACTGAAGGTGGACAACTAACCAACCCGATTGGGCCAACTGCTGGATTTCTGTTCAAAACTACACAAAAATATACCTTTTATTCTGAAGCACCAAAGACTAACAACCCCATGTGGGTCTCTTTTAAAACGACCAGTGTGTTATGAATCCAGGACGTTAATGAATATTGAGAACGACAATGAAAGTAATTCTCATAAAGCTGGATGCAGGTTCTAAACTATTTCTATCAAAATCATAGTAAAGGTTAAATGTAAGGAGAATACATTCAGAACCAGTAGTTTAAAGTAAAGTAAAATCTTTATAATTTATAATAAATTAAATTGTGTCATGAACTATGTTCATATAACCAAAACAGAAGCCGTATTTTTTCTAAAGAAGGAATTTTTTTGTTATAATTGGACAGTTACACAATTTTTGTTGTTTTGTTTGTGTAGTCCAGTCCAATGGATTTGAAAATGAAACACAGATGTTCATCTATACTGGGAGAACTGATAGGAATCACAGCCCTTTTTAAAGGTCCTGAAAGCCAAAAGTAACTGGCCAGAATGACCAAGTTACAGTTTCTAAAAAATTGCTTTAAAAAACGTAGAGTTCTGGAACAAAGTGTGATATAGATGGAGGACATGTATGGTTGAAGCGGTTCAATAAGCGCTCGTCCACTTGGCCTCATCATTTCCTCTCAGAGGAATCCCTCACGCCATCTTAAGAGCTGCTCCATTACTATGTTAGCTCATGTGAATCCTTTAAATCTGATGCGTCTCCCTTTTCAAACCCAAAAACAAATGTGGATGAAGCTGTTTGAAAGCCATAGCTGTAAACTGCATTAAATGATTAACATTTTAAAACCAGCAGATTTCATCACCAAGATAATCTGCTTCTAAGCAGCTCTCAGCTGTTCATTGCATTTACATCTACAGCATTTGGCAGACGCTCTTATCCAGAGCGACTTACAGTTTGATCATTTTACACAGGTGGGCGAAGGTGGTGTTAGGAGTCTTGCCCAAGGACTCTTATTGGTATAGTGCAGGGTGCTTGAACCCCAGTCTACAGTATAGAAGGCAGAGGTGTATCACACTACACTATACCCACCACCATCATTATTAGAGCAGGACGATGGTAAAAAAAGGGGTCAGGTGCTTTTGCACCATTTGGCACTGACTTCTGGTTTCGGCCCTGCTGCTACGTTAACACGTGATTCATTCACATGATGTTATTGATTAGAATGTGTGCATATGGGTTGTTCCAGGAAGTTAGTTTTGTTTACATTAAGAACAGATTGGAGTCACCTTCATGAATGTAAACCATCAGATCTGAGAAAAGATTTGTATTTAAGCAATGAGACTTGTAATGTAAATGTAGCCAAAGGCTATGTTCACATTACAAGCCTCATTTCTCAAATCCAGTTTTCACTGAAATCCGATCTCTCTGACACGATGGTTCACACTCGTTTAGGTAAGTGATTCAAATCTGTCATTAATGTGATGAACCGGCGTCCTGAAATGACCCTCATGAGCTCATCCTACTCAGTAACATCACGTGAATGAATCACGTTCATCATCAGCACAAACTAACGAGCAGAACGAGCTTCACTGAGAAGATCATTAACTCTGATCAGCTCTCAGCTTCATTATTAGAGCGAGACGAAGGAGAAAAAGGTGAGATGAGCTGCTTTTCCACCGTTTACAGGCTTTAACTTCTGTTCGGCGCTGCTGCCATGGTAACGCTGATCTAGGACCACATATGAAAGTGACTCAGGTCGGATTTGAAAAGAACGGATTTGTGCCACTTCAACCTGGTAATGTGAATGTAGTCAAAGTGGCTCAGATCAGATTTGAAAAAATCAGATTTGTGTGTTCACACAGCTCTGAAAACATCAGATCTGTGCCACATTAAGACAAAAAATCACATACATATTGTGCAACCTTAATGAGATCAGAGGTCAGTCAGATTGGAATTCATGTTTTGTTTGTTTGTTTGTTTGTTTGTTTGCTTTCACTGTACATGCGTCATCATTCAGTGTTAGCATGGCAGCACTGCTGAACTTGAATACTGGTAAATGTTACTAAATCCAGTACCTGAGAGCTTTTCAGAGTAAACTATCTTAACAACGGGGGTTTGTGCTGCTGGCTATTTCATTTGATGTTGCTCAGGGTGCACGTGGTTCATTCTGGTGACCTTATTGATTAGGATGTGCACATTCTGGGTGCTGGTTTGTTCACATGAAAGACAGATATGAGTCACTTAGAAACACAAATGTGAACCATCAAATTTAGAAAGACTGGTCTGAAAAAATCTGAATTAGAAATCAGGCTTGTAATGTGAACACAGCCAAAATGCAACAGACTCTCTGACTTAATTTAATAGATCCAGCCAAATCTGGGAAGATGCCCAGTGTCTGGAGATGTTTATGGATCAGAAACTTCAAACGTTACTGCTAAATGGTGAGTACTACGCCAGGTATGTGTACGACGATGTTCATTTCAGTAATGACTTATGATCCCCTGAAATGCGTGACCTTTCTATAAAAGGGCTGTGATTCATATGTGGTTCATTCAGTTTAGAATTAAATACTTTCTATTTGAAGCTGATATTAACCTTTAATATTATTTCAGTATTAGTTTTCTAATCCCTCCCATCGTTAAAGATCAGTAATGATTAAGCTTGAACCCGGAAGTCAGTCGTCAATCTTTATGCAAAGCTTTTTTTTCCTCCTGCCTTTCATCTGTTTTGTCTCTGGAAGAAATGTTACCTTATTTTCTAGTGGATGAAGTAATTCTGCGTTTTTTTGTGATTTTGTGTGTTGTGTTTTCTTGTTATTTGCCAGAAGTGTTCAAGATTTCTGTTGAAAGAAAGATTTAAAATGTTTCTGTAGTTGTGGTGTTTTCTAGAATTTGTTTTCTCATCGTGGCTCTGAGTGTGTTTTCCCCCTTTTGGCATACTTGTACATATTTTATTGGAATATAAGGGCAAAAAGTGAATTATATTGATAATTAATTCAAACTTTGTTTTTAATCTGAAATAATTAAAACTTTACATTAAACGTTTTCTCTACTTTTATGTATTTTATTGCCAGTTTACTTAACATTTGAATAATATTTTATAATGTGTTGAATGATTGTATTATTGTGTTTTATTGTATCCCCCCCCACACCCCCACAAAAAGAAATGTATGTATTGTTCCATGTGTTAATGTATCAGTACTCCTTATGACACAAGATCATCTCGCTCTGTTTTGGACTTGGTCTTGACCCAGTCTTGCTCTCATTCGGACTTGGTCTTGACCTGCATTTCACATTTAGACTCAGCCTCCACTCTATCACACTCTCATTCAGACTCAGTCTTGATCTGGACTCGATCTCATTCAGACTTGGTCTTGATCAGGACTCACTCATTCAGACTCGGTCTTGACTCTATCATGCTCTCATTCAGACTTGGTCTTGACCCAGTCTTGCTCTCATTTGGACTTGGCCTTGACCCAGTCTTGCTTTCATTCAGTCTCGGTCTTGACCCAGTCTTGCTCTCATTTAGTCTTGGTCTTGACCCAGTCTTGCTCTCATTTAGTCTTGGTCTTGACCCAGTCTTGCTCTCATTTAGTCTTGGTCTTGACCCAGTCTTGCTATCATTTGGATTTGGCCTTGACTCAGTCTTGCTCTCATTCAGTCTCGGTCTTGACCCAGTCTTGCTATCATTTAGTCTTGGTCTTGACCCAGTCTTGCTCTCATTTAGTCTTGGTCTTGACCCAGTCTTGCTCTCATTTAGTCTTGGTCTTGACCCAGTCTTGCTATCATTTGGATTTGGCCTTGACCCAGTCTTGCTCTCATTCAGTCTTGGTCTCGACCCAGTCTTGCTATCATTTGGATTTGGTCTTGACCCAGTCTTGCTCTCATTCGGACTTGGTCTTGACCTGCATTTCACATTTAGACTCAGCCTCCACTCTATCACACTCTCATTCAGACTCAGTCTTGATCTGGACTCGATCTCATTCAGACTTGGTCTTGATCAGGACTCACTCATTCAGACTCGGTCTTGACTCTATCATGCTCTCATTCAGACTTGGTCTTGACCCAGTCTTGCTCTCATTTGGACTTGGCCTTGACCCAGTCTTGCTCTCATTCAGTCTCGGTCTTGACCCTGTCTTGCTCTCATTTAGTCTTGGTCTTGACCCAGTCTTGCTCTCATTTAGTCTTGGTCTTGACCCAGTCTTGCTCTCATTTGGATTTGGCCTTGACTCAGTCTTGCTCTCATTCAGTCTCGGTCTTGACCCAGTCTTGCTCTCATTTAGTCTTGGTCTTGACCCAGTCTTGCTCTCATTTAGTCTTGGTCTCGACCCAGTCTTGCTATCATTTGGATTTGGCCTTGACCCAGTCTTGCTCTCATTCAGTCTTGGTCTCGACCCAGTCTTGCTATCATTTGGATTTGGCCTTGACCCAGTCTTGCTCTCATTCAGTCTCAGTCTTGACCCAGTCTTGCTCTCATTCAGTCTCAGTCTTGACCCAGTCTTGCTCTCGTTCAGACTTGGTCTTGACTTGGTCATGCTCTTATTTGGACTCAGTCTTGACTCTATCACGCTCTCGTCTGGATTTGGCCTTGACCCAGACTCTGTCTCTTTTGGACCTGGTCTTAAATTGGTCTAGGCGCCATTTATAGCTGTGCTTGACTCGATCAGAGTTAGTTATGTTCTTGGACTTCGGTGGTCCTGACTGCAGCCTGATTTAAATGTGTGTGAGGATTCATCACTTGCTGTGTGAATCCAGCTGGGCGTTCCTGTTAATGTAGCTGATGTGTGCAGGCTGCCAGTTTGAGTTACTGTATTTGGCATCCAAACTGCAGATCACTTACGTCACCTCACACACCCAACTCATGACCAGGATTTCTGGGGTTTATTTTTCACAGCGTGATACACACACACACACACACACACACACACACACACACACACACACACACACACACAGCTGCCTCTTTTGGATCACCATCACATTACATTTGCGCATGTGTGGCAACAGCTGCCCATGTCACTGTCTTAAATCACACATGCAAGAGAGACACAGACACGCACCTGCACGTGCACTGCTGAGAACATTCAGTAGAAATACATGGTACACACACAACACATTTACACACAAGGTGAACAAAATAACACACACACACAAAAGTTCAACAGAGTTAGAAGTTCAGGTCCTTGGCCTCTTCCCAGGGGAATTCTTTCCTGCCGAAGTGTCCGTAACATGCTGTTTTCTGATAGATTGGCCTTTTCAAATCCAGGTCTCTGAAAACATATAGAAAACATGTTATAATAGTGTGTAGGAGGTACACAGATTAAGTGGCCCTTACTGAGCGACAATTAAGACTTATTAAGAGAAACAGACATACAGATTTGTAGGTAGATAGAAAGACAGACAGATAGACATATAGACAGATAGAGATGCATACAAACATGCTTCCATACGTATACAGATATATAAAGCAAGATAGATACATTGAGAGATAGACAGATAGAAACTGTAATAGTAGTTATAGCAACAACAGCAATAATGGAAAACAGCAAAAACATATATTTGCTAGAAGAACAATACAATATAAACAATATAATTCAACAATATAAAAGGAGTATTATGGCAGATACAACCCCATTTCCAAAAAAGTTGGGACGCTGTGCAGAATGTAAATAAAAATGGAATGCAATGATATGCAAATCATGTAAACCATATTTTTAAAGGAAAATGCTACAAAGACAACAAATCAAATGTTGAAATTTTATTATTTTTTTGAAAAATATATGCACATTTTGAATTTGATGCCAACAACACATCTGGAATGTGTTGTTGGCATCAAATTCAATGTTGTCTTTGTACTATTTTCAATGAAACATAGGGTTTAAATGATTTGCAGATCACTGAGATTTGTGTTTATTTACATTTTGCACAGCATCCCAACTTTTTTGGAAATGGGGTTGTAAATGTGTGAGATTATTCTAACGTACAAGTCCTACGCAACTTCACAGTTTTGTTATCATAGTCATAACAGGAAGCTGCAGCTAAATTAATTAATTAAGAAACGTTAGATGTGTCCAGAATGATGAACATAGCCGTATGATTCTACAATTACTGCATGAAGTTATAATAAAATTTATATCCATAATGCTTTGTATTTCACATGTGAATGTGAAGACAAGGTAATTATGGTGTATTATTATTTGAATAAATTCTTGTTGTTGCCAAAATATCTGTAACGTTGAACATCTAGAAGTACCTTCTGTTGTCTACTTCAGAGTACTGAAATCTGTATTGTACAAGTTATGATATAAAATAACAAAAACTATTAATATGAAAGGAACTTTTGAATGGTAATGTATGAATTGTTCCAGATGAAATAATAGACAGAATAACATTAAGTACTGTGATAACTTTAGACTACTATACCAATAAGCCCTAAAGCCGCCTTATATAGTTCAGAACATTTCAGTCTGAACAAAGTTAGATGCAAAAGACAAGACCATTACATTTTCATAGAGGACAATGACCTCACATAGCACTCTTTGGCACATCACAGCTGAATCGGTCTGATACCAAGGCCAATCCCATTTCACCCCTCGCCCATACCACTGAGCCCTTAGCCCTCTGTTTTGCATGTTCATGTCTAGGGGGGGTAGGGTGTCCCAATTTTTGTTGAGATAGAGGGGTGGGGTGAAGTGTTGGGGCTACAAACAGAGAGTTATGAGAAACAAGGAAAAACCGGCAAGATGGAGAACAAGAGACCAAAGAAACACACAAATGTGAGAATTTACCCAGTTAAAAAATTACAATATCCATCGTATTATCTTAGTTTAATGTTGTTTCAGTGTACTATGGTCGTTTTTCTTCATAACAAGCATAAAAAACACGCTAATAGTATGCTAATGTCTCCGTAGCTAGCTAGCTAACTTTCCCGTTCCACCTTAAATAGTCCAGCAGTTCTGACGCCTGAAGCACCAGAATGTAACTTCTGCACCATTTAAGGTGGAGCGGGAAAATTCGAACAAGAAGCTGGTGAATATCTGACTTCAGCTTCATATCACTGAAGAATTAGGGGTGGGTGATAATAAATAATTGCCCCCCTCTTTGAAGGCATATGATCCCTAAATGTGACTAAAGCCCAGCAGTGAGGAGCTGAACTTTACCCTCCTCTGCTGTCACTGCAGACTGGCAGGGCCGCCTACAGAGCAGCGCTGGTAGCTGTTGATGAAGTGATGATCTTTTTATTTGAGGGTCCCATTTCAGAGGGAAGATTTCAACCACTACCCTGTAACTCAGTTCCAAGGGGCAACACTCGAAAACAAGGGGCAGGGGTAAAAAGAAGAAAAGGGATTGGGCCCAAGTGTGCTCCTCTGGCATGGAGCCAGAAGTTGACTGAGTTTAATAGCATTAAATCATTCAGATTTTTTAATGAACAGCTGTTTTTCGTTGTGTTGGGTGCTCAGATCATGATTAAACTCACCTGACAATGACCCCAGGCCGCAGGTCAAAGTTCTTTCTGACGATCTGTAAAAGCTCCTTCTCGTTTTTTCGGGAGGAGCCATAAGTGAAGAGTGAGATGGAGAGAGGCTGCGCTACTCCGATGGCGTACGACACCTGAACCGAGCAGAAGAGACAAACCTTCAGCAGAGCCACACGCTGCACTGCAGAGCACTAACGTCTCTAAGCATGCGAGTCGTCACAGACAGAAACAGCTCATTTTGGGAACCTCGAGAACCACAGACACTGTGTGTCAACAGCTAACTTTGTTGATTTGCTGTGAGCAAAATCATTCGGAGTGGTTTGGTGTGAAATGCGCCTTTCTAGAAAAATTTACTGAGTCAGAATTGTTCACCCCCTGATAGCAGGAGGATAGTGGATCACTGTCGGCCCACTGATAGCAAAGCTGGTGGTCCACTGGTGGCTCAGCGTTTTCTGGGCGACCCACTGGTGGTTACGCAGAATCGTAGACAAAATTCCACTGATCATCGCTCAGCATCCATTTACAGTCCAGTTTACTTATTTTTCCTTCCTTCCTTTCTTTAGTTATAGAATATAGTAAATAATTTTAATCCAGCTCAGTGTCAGCATTTTCTATGAAATTATTTTATATCAGGCCTGGTCATTATTTTTTTCTCTCAGTTGTTTGTAATATTTGTCTAAGTTTATTTTCCAAAATAAAAGTCTCTGTGCATTTAAAATCTGTTTGCGGAGGTTAAAACTAGTTAGAGATTGTTTGCAGGACAGTAATCTGGGTGGTCTGAGGGTGGGCCAGGAGTGGCAAACAGTCAGTGGGGTGCTGACCTTATTAAGCTAGTGGATCGATATAAGCTGCTATCTGGGCCATTGTAGTAGTAGGAACCAGACGTCCCTATGTCTGCACTACAAATATCACAATTTTATCAGCAATTTTAAATGACCAGTGAACTTACGTGTGTCTTGTAAGTTGTTATAAGTCATGCTGATAATGGTAAAATAGTGCTTAATTGGACAAAATCTGTTTTCTTCATTTTTTCCTTATAACGCCCTACATGTACCTCTCCACCCTGCACGCCTTTTGTGTTGTTTGGGTAAGCAGCTTTGCAGTAGGAGTTGGATCTCTGCGTGCCAGGTGACGGGCGGAAGTGGCTGCCCTTGTGGCAGCAGGAAGCAGGCACTTTTATTAGCATTCGCCACTGAGTGGCCATTTTTTTAGTGGCCCCTCAGACAGCAAGCAAACGTAGGACCAGAGGTGCCCAACAACACTGCTTACATTAGAGCTTTGTTTTTACCGTTGAAAGCTGTTTTCCCAGTTTGGCCAGTCTGTGCTGAGTTTATTCAGCAATTCTTCTCTGCAGCCTCTGTAAATGTAGCTTTTACTGTACAAGGAAACTCAATCTCAGTCTCAGTTTGAGTCACTAACAGCAGAATCATGTTTGATTTTGAGAAGCGACACGTCTTTTTATTTCAATCCAAGATCAACGTAAAATTTAATGAGCTGCTCTGTGTCTGAGCTTAAACAAAGCACAGCTTTTGCAAGTGAATGCAAACCATTGTACTGTAATGCAAAACACTTGTGAGGGAACGCAATGTCATTAACTTTAACCACGGCCCCTTAGGGGCTCCGTATGAATCAGGGTAAGAAACGTTTGTGAGTGAAATAAATTAACGTTAGCCACCGTGTATATATCACTGTTAGCCGTTACCTTCTAGACTGGTAAGCAGAGTAGTAAGTAGTATGTTGTTGACACCACCAGTTTACATTTGCTCTGGGTTCTGCTTCGGTGCTAGCCGATTCAGGTTCAGCTCTGTCTGTCTGTCTGTCTGTCTCTCTCTCTCTCTCTCTCGCTCTCTCTCTCTCCCCTTCAAGCCACTGCAACTCTTTTGTGTTTTCTGGTTCAAATTGATTTGGCTTTTTACGACATTTTGGAAACAGACCTCCTTGAAGTCCTCCTCATTCTCCTCCATCTTCCAAAATTAGGTATGAAAATAAACTGTAAACAGAAGCTGCTGCTGTGTTAGCCATGTTGAACGGCTGTAGCTACAGGCTAATAACAGCAAAAGCACGTTAGCTCGCGCATTGATCTCGGTCGAGATGCGGTTTTGAGAGGAAACACAGAAATAATCCTGGGGTAAAAGATTATACTAAAAATACATTTTAGGCCAAAACTTTATAACAAAACTATAACAACACAATGTCTCAGGTATAAAGCGACACATTTATAACCATTTTCTGTAAGAACTTAACAGGATGTAGCTTTTAGAGCCATTAAACGCCTCAGACTCTGTAAATTTCTCTGGAAAGAAATTTCACACCAAACCTCTCTGAATGATTTTGTTTACATCTAAACCATTGAATGATTAATTAATTTTGCAAAATTGGTGGAGTTCCCCTTTAAGGTGCCATTTTTCTCTACAAAAACTGCGAAACTGCTTACAAAAGCTCCAACTCAAGCAAAAGGCAACACATTTTATCTCACTGTTGTGATGTCAGCACTCAAACCTTTCAGCAGTTTAAACCACTTCATAGCTGGCAGAGTTTCAGTCTGTGCTTTTAATCATAGTTTGGAAAAGAAATCTGTCAAATCATTATTTAAAAGTTGCTCTTCATGATACTTCATGATAAAGTAAAGGATGATACTTTAATGAACATAAAGCTGAGTGTTGAAGATAAACCCAAAGTATTAGCCCAGAGCTGCTTTATGAAAACAACACACTATTTTTTCTTAATAAATTAAAAAAACAGCTGCAAAACAAAAAGGGAATAATGTCCCCAGATGTTTGACAGGCTTTATTCTTTTGCTTTCACTACAGCGCTGCGGTGTCTCACCTGTACCAGCACTCTGCGGCACAGCTTGGCCTTCACCAGGGATTTGGCCACCCAGCGGGCAGCGTAGGCAGCTGAACGGTCAACCTTGGTATAATCTTTTCCAGAGAACGCCCCACCTCCATGAGCCCCCCAGCCTCCATATGTGTCCACGATGATCTTACGGCCCGTCACTCCCGCATCGCCCTGTCAGGAAGGTCAGGTAAAGGTGAGCAACACCTCTGTGTCTGATAAACTCGCAGCAGCACCAAAACACTCTGCTAGGTCAGGGTCTCTGCTGTGCTGAGAGTGGACCACCACCCAAGTAACATCTGGTCAACAGCGGCCCTGTGGTGGTCCCTTTCCGTTGATGGACAGGGTAAAAGGGGGCTCATTAATTGTGCAGCGGCAGAGCTCCTGGACCGTGAACCTATATGGTGAGTATACTAAGGTATAATAGAGGATACTCTTAAAAAAGATGGTTCTTCAAGGGTTTTTGAGAAGAAAGTTGTTCTATATAGAACCGTGAATTTGCATGATTAAAGGGTTCTTTGCATCATTACATGGTTCTTCAGATTGACGGAAAGTGTGCTGTATTTTGAAAAGGGTTCTCTATAGCACAAAAATGTTTCTTCTGTTGTTGATGATGGCAAGCCTGTGACAATAGAAGAACTTTTTGATGCTATATAGAACCATTTTCAAAAAGGGTCTATATAGAACCATATGAAACACGTTCTCCGTCAATCTGAAGAACCCTTTAATCATGCAAAGTGGTCTTTGAGTGTTCACAGTTCTATATAGAATCATTTTCTTTACTAAAGAACCCTTGAAGAACCATCTTTTTTTTTACGTGTGTATAATAGTGAATGCAGTCATATGCAAAAGTTTGAACACTCCCAGTCAAAATATATTTTATCGATTTTCCAAGTGAAAGTAATTTAACACGTTCTCTACAAATTTAAATATGGCTTTTTTGCTATTCTAATTTCTATTTATTTGAGTTTAACATACTGGAAAAAAATAAAACATGAAATATAAATGTGCCATAACTTTTGCACAGGCCACATTTTATGTTTTATTTTTTCCCCCAATATGTTAAACTCAGCAAATAATCAATAATTGTGTATTAAAATGTGCAGAAGTGTGCTGTCTGTAGAGTATGTGTTAACTTATTCACACTTAGAAAAACAACGAAACAGAATTAGACCAGGGGTGCCCAAACTTCTGCTTATGACTGTATATAGAAAGTGTATATACATTATAAACTCCAAAAGGTATTTTTAGATGCTCTACTCAATATTTCAAGTATTTTGAGAACACAAAGCTATTAAATTATGTACTGCTATTATCTGTTTACAATATTTTGTCATATTATTTGTCATGAGATTTGGTCACCACTCTTGTACAAGGCAATGTGAATATCAGTTATATCCTCACTCCTGATGCTGTGTGCTTTCTCAGTCATTTTAAAACAACCCATTATTCTAGACACTCAAAACGTCTGTGAAGATGCCCAGGATTAGCTTTTAATAGTCATTTTAAACATTTATCTGCAACTAAACTGATTTTATTTTATTAAAAATTCATGTGAACACTATTGTGTATATATAAATCAACAGAAGCTGTTTGTTTTGTTTGTCAGACTCACATTGGTCTGTGTACTGAACCATTTAATGAATGAGTCGTTTTCAGAGTGGCTGGACGGCCGACTCACCTGAGGGCCCCCGATGACGAAACGGCCGCTTGGCTGAAGGTGGTAGACGGTCTTCTCGTCCAGATATTTGGCTGGGACAACGGCCTTGATGACCTTCTCCTTCAGAACCTCCCTCTGCTCTTCCAGAGACACGTAATCATCGTGCTGGACTGAGATCACGATGGTGTGAACTCTACGAGGAATTACCGCTCCGTTGTCCTGTGAGTAGTGCACTGTAACCTAGAGAGACAGAGAGAGAGAGAGAGAGAGAGAGACATTAACCTACAGATCAAAGTTTTGGTAACAATAACTTGAGGACATGGATAGTAAAATATTTATGAACATATGAACATAGAACAGACTGGTTTGCTGCTAAATGTGTTCCTGAAGCTCAACTCAGTCAGGACACTTATCTTAGGAGTTGTGAAACAATTAAGCTGCTCAGTTTAAGACATTGGGCTTCATTCGCCAATCATTCTTAACAAGCATCAAGACTGTTCTCTGTCCTGGAGCTGAGGTGGTGGACGAACTCCCACTGGCTGCCCGAACAGCAGAGTCTGTCGTGGTCTTCAAACGCAGGCTGAAGACCATCTCTTTATACAGCACTTAATCAACATGGGCTTCTGTTTCTAGCAGTATCTGAGCTCAGGACTAACTTCTCTGTAACCTGTTTGTAACTAGCAAAGATACTTTCTCTGACACACGTCATCAATCTGACGTAAACTTTTTCCTAGGACTTTTCTCAAGAACACATTTAAAAAAACTTTTATTGGAGATAAAAGATATTGAAAAATGAGGCCCAGAAGATTCTGGAACACACTGCTCTGGTTAAACTAGATGTCAATAAAAATATTTTCCTGGTTGTTGGCAGATTCACTTACTTGTAAAATATTTTAAAAATGTTTTTAATCACTGCTTCTGTAAAGCTCAATTCCATAAAAGACAGCATGTGAACAGCTGTGACAATGAACCTCCCAGGGAGTGTTTGAAATCAGGTGCAGGTCTACGAGGCGTTCAGAACACAAGCAGCCTGGGTCAAATCCTTCAGGACGGCATTATCAATCAGATAAACAGTCTAAAAACACAATCCCGTTCTCAAAACCAAAATACCAAAGCTATAGATCATAATGGGAAGGAAAACACAAAAAATACACTGCTCAGAATTGTCAGGAAAACCAGAACAAGACGTCACACTGAAACTATGCCTGGATAGATCTTAAATACTTTACTAAATGGCCACTGATTAGGAACAGGTGTAACACAAAACTCGGTAACACTTTATTTGGATGGTCCACTGTAGGTGCTTTTTTAGACGCTCAATATATCTTTAAGTAACATTCAAGTAAAAATCTATTAAATGCAAGTGAACTTGAAGCTCAGTGTGAAAGATTTTATTAAATCTATTCCTAACCCTGAACCTAACCCTAACCCTAACCACAAGGCAAAACCCACACCTACTCCTAAACCTATCCCTAACCATAATAATGTTGAAAATCAATCGAGTATCACCAGACAATTTGTTAACGACAAGTAAAGTATTTGTAAAGTATTTGTAGATTACCTATTGGGGACCATCAAAACTCAGTATTCAGGAGAGTGAGACCTCTGCTGGTGTGGATGGAAATCAGAAACAGATGGGACAACAATACGAATACAAGATATTTAATGTTTTGTCTTATCAACTTCACTGAGTTTTTATTAATATACACTCATTTTGATGCCTGCAACATATTCCAATTTAAGACTAGGAATGCTGTGAAACTGTATCACCTGTTTAAGGAAATTCATTTTAAACAGGTGATTCAATCATGCTTGGGTATAACAGGAGCATCCAGGAAAGGCCGAGTCCTTTACGAGTAAGCATGTTTTAGGTACTTCACCCTGTACAGCGAATATCATTGAAAGATTTGGGGAATTCGAAGACATCTCTGTGTTTAAAGGACTGTACGTCCGTGATTTTCGACCTCTCAGACGGCACTGTATTAAAAACCGGCATGTTTTCGTGATGGACATCACCACATGGGCTCAGGAATACTTTGGCAAACCATTATCAATAAACACCGTTCGTCACTGCACCCACAAATGTAAGTTATGACTACTATGCACAGCGTATTTGTGTGCAGCTTGTATAACCGATAACTGGCTATAAATTGCTTTCAGAAACAGGATCAATCTGGTGTCTTCAGTGCTGTGAAAAGCAAAGGGGATACAGTGGTAAACATTAGTGTGTCCCAGCTTTTTTGGAATTGAGGTTTCAATAGTTGTGGCCTGTAATGTACAATCCCATTTCCAAAAAAGTTGGGACGCGGTGCAAAATGTAAATAAAAAGAAAATGCAATGGTCTGCAAATTATTTAAACACTATATTTCATTGAAAATACTACAAAGACAACATATCAAATGTTGAAACTGAGAAATTTTATTGTTTTTTGAAAAATATTTGCCCATTTTGAATTTGATGCCAACAACACGTTCCAGAAAAGTTGGGACGGGGCTTTGCTTATTTCAGCAAAATAATGTCAAACCACATTCTGCATGTATTACAACAGCATTGCTCCGTATTAAAAGAGTCCAGGTGCTAAACTGACCTGCCTGCAGTCCAGATCTGTCACCACTGAAAACATTTGCCACATTATAAAATTAAAAATACGACAAAGGAGACTCTGAACTGATAAGAAGCTGAAATCCTAAGCAAAAATGGGAAAACCTTTCACTCTAAAAACTACAGCAGTGTCTCCTCAGTTCCCAAACACTTACAGAGTGCTATTAAAGAAGAGGTGATGAAACACAGTGGTAAACAGGCCCCCGTCCCAACTTTTTTGGAACGTGTTGTTGGCATCAAATTCAAAATGGGCGTATATTTTTCAAAAAACAATAACATTTCTCAGTTTCAATATTTGATTCTTTGTCTTTGTACTATTTTCAATGAAATATAGGGTTTATATGATTTGCACATCATTTAAATTTTGTTTTTATTTACATTTTGCACAGCATCACAACGTTTTTGGAAATGGGGTTGTAGATATAACTGTCATTGTGCAGTATGTTAGTTGAAGACACACCAACATGAACTCACACTGGACAGAAGCGTGAGAGAGATGATGGTTATGAATGAGTGATTTCTTCACCTGCTGTGCTTTTCATAGGCTGCTCTGCAGTGCTAATTAATATCCAAACCCCTACCGTCCACTGTAAGGTCATTGGGTCTTTTGCGTGCTGCATTGCCATATCTACTACAGCAGAGTGATCGACATCAGCCTTGTTAGGTCAGTGATCTGTGGTCAGTCTAAAATAGCTCTGTTCTGTTTCAGGATCCAGACTACGCCAGCAGGGATTCTGATGTCTTCTAAAGCGAGGGAGCAGGAAGAGGTGGATAAAGAAAGCAAATGGGCTCAAAAGTAAAAGGTGAAAAAGTAAGTGAAAGAATCCAAACTGAGACTTAAGATTAATAACGGCACATTCCAGCTGATTACTGTGGCTGTATGTAGAATGTATGTGTAGTTCATTTTATTTTCCTCATAATCTCCTCTGTAGAGTCACCCAATACCATAAATAAATACATAAATAAAGTTTTAGTGTCTTGTATGTAGTTACAAACTTATTTCAGTGAAAAAAATTGTATCCGCTTATGCCAAATATAGCTAATCAGCCAAGACATGTTTCCTTCTTTACTTTTGCACTGTAGGCTAATGAGACTAATGTAACTGAAAGCTTATACCCCACCAGTTAGCATAAGTCCCTTCCTGTAATGTCTTTATATCAGCCCCCTAGTGGCCATTCTGTTCACAGAATAAAAATAGATATTTTAAATTGATATAATCATTGTTATTTTACCTGTAACTGTTATCAGATGAACTTGGATGCTGTTGGCTCCAGGTCAGCATCAGGGGGTCAGGTGGTGGGGTAATGCCCCACTATCCAATCTTCATGCCCCACTAAACCCACTATATTTTATAAAGGCTTCTATAGCAGCAGGTGCCCAAAAACGTTTGTTGCCACCCAAGTCTAATATAAAGAGCTGCTAAATGGGTAGAACTTTGATGCTGCCTTTGTGGCCCTTCTGTAGTTTTCAGATGCTCCACTGAAGATTTTGTGCTAGTGTTCTGCCTGGTTAGCTCTCTGTGTGTGAAACGTTGCGACTCAGTAGCCATGTTTACATGCAGCCTAATAATCCATTAATAATCCGACTAATAGCTCATTTGGAATAGAATACGGCCATGTAAACACCTCAATCGAAATAGCAGGGAGAAGAAAGGCCATTAATTGAGGCCATTCGGAATACAGTTTCTATCCAACTGATCGAGGTGGGTAATCCTGTAAATAATCCGTTAATTAGAAGAATAATATCCATGTAAACGCCTGTATCTGATTACATTCCCTATCAGAAAATTTAAGTCCGTTCTGATCATGTTCGTCGCGTCATAGTGAAAGTTTATACTGTTCAACATGGCGGAGCAGAAACTGGTCTGCAGAGGAGACGAAGTTTCTGCTCTGATCTTTAAAAGACGGCGGTGGGACGGACGTCCAGCTTATGTGTCTCAGAACACAACGTCTTCCTCTCGGCCTTCTTTAATAAGGACAAGTGAAGGACGTTTTCCTGAGTCTGACATCATTTTAAAGCAGTTAAATACACAAGCGCTGCTCACTGCTGCTCATCTCACTCTGACTGGACTCACATGATGCTGGTTGTCATGGTAACGTCTACACTTGTAGATCTGATTCTTTGTAGTGAGCATGTAAACAAAGATTCTCAAGGTTGAGAATATAAACACCTCAGTCTTAATCTGTAATCGGAATGTATTCAATCAGATTAGCAAAAATCTTTGCATGTAAACACAGCAAGTGTTGAGCTGCTAGTGAGCAATGAGGGGTGAAAGAAGAGGGGTGAGACCCCCCTGCTGTGAAAACGGATCACACGTCTCCACAAAGACGGCCATGCTGAGATAAACGAACAACTGCGGCTTTCTTCATATCAAACAATCCTCTGTAAATAGCATTTAAACATGATTCTTCCAAAGTGGATTCTGGTATTTTTGAATGATCATCCATATGTGCTATCACTACATATTTCCTTCTTCTTTTTGAGATTTTTGAACGTTTGTGATGGGAGACGCGAAGTGGCTGCATTAATTATGTTGTGTTACGTTTTTAGTGTCATGATTTCTCAGATAATGATGTCCATGTAATTATGTCATATTAAGGGTTGTGACAGCTGGATTTCTAATGCTGTTAATGTCCCACCTGTGTCTTTGAGTCGGGCCGGAGCCAGGGAACAGTGCCGTTACGTCTGAGTTCGGCCATCTTGGCGTTGAGTTTGTGTGCCAGTACGATGGTGAGAGGCATACACTCCTCTGTCTCATCTGTAGCGTAGCCGAACATCAAGCCCTAAAGAGAGACAAACGAGCAATTAGCAGCAATCAATTTGAATCAAGTATGAGTTGAGCTTTATGCACTGACATCCAAATTTACTGTGGATCAACTTTCCTTCCAGGCCAACAAACAGAGTTCTGAAGTTTGTGGGGAGGATCATGCCTGAAACTCCTCCTCCTTCCAATCCAATGGCCTATAAATTTCTCTACGTTCTCTTTACTCTCCCAGAAAAAAGGTACTAAATTGTGCCTCTCTTGTCTCTGGGGTGGAACCCTTAAGGGTCCATCTCAGTACCTTTAGTCAGGGAACATAACTGAACCATAATCCACTGAAATGATACGTTCTAAGCTGTACTGACTCCACACACCCCGTCTCGTCTCCAGGCTTTTATTTTACTGTTCTGTTTAAAAACATTCGGTTATAAAAAGATACAAATATGTACAACCCTAATTCCAAAAAAGGCTTTTAAAATGTGCACTGATAACAAGCTGAATGGTTCCTCTCAGCGTCCATGGTGTCCAAAAAGAATTTCAAATTTTGATTCATCTGACCACAGAACAGTTTTCCATTTTGCCTTAGTCCATTTTAAATGAGCTTTGGCCCAGAGAAGACGGCGGCGTTTCTGGATCGTGTTGACATGTGGCTTCTTCTTTGCATGATACAGCTTTAACTTACATTTGTGGATTGCACGGCGAACTGTGTTCACTGCCAGTTATTTCTGGAAGTGTTGCTGAGCCCATGCAGTGATTTCCAGTACAGAATCATGCCTGTTTTTAATGCAGTGCCGTCTGAGGGCCCAAAGATCGTAAGCATCCAGTATTGACCGTCGGCCTTGTCCCTTGTGTACAGGGATTTCTCCAGATTCTCTGAATCTTTTGATGATATTGTGTACTCTGTAGATGGTGGGAAATCCAAAGTCTTTGCAATTTTACATTGAGGAACATTTTTCTCTAATTTTTTCACAATTTTTAGACGCAGTTTTTCGCAGATTGGTGAACCTCTGCCCATCTTTGCTTCTGACAGACTCTGCCTCTCCAAAATGCTCTTTTTATACTCAGTCATGTGAGTACAGTCATAGTTCTTTTTTATTAGTACCACTTACTTTTCCAGCCTTTTGTTGCCCCTGTCCCAACTTTTTTGAGATGCGTTGCTGCCATCAAGTCCTAAATTTGTTTTTTTTTCATGAAGTGGTAAAATGTCTCTCTTTCAACATCTGACATGTTCTATGTTCTATTGTGGATAAACTAGGGGTCTGTGAGATTTTAAAATCATTGTGTTCTGTTTTTATTTACATTTACATTTTACACAGCATCTCAACTTTTTTGGAATTGGGGTTGTATTTTTCACCTGGAAAAACTTATTTAAGATACACGGCTGGACCTTAAAACCACTGTTGTACCTTTGAGGGAACATTTATATTGTTTGTACCTTGATGAACGAAAAATGTACCTTTATTTCTAACAGTGTACCATGAGAACATTTTCACAATTTCCACTACCACCCTTAATTCTCCCTGCTCTTCAGTCCTATCTGTCAGTCCTACCACCAGCCAAAGGGGGTCTGGCTTTCTGGCTCCAAGCAGAAGCCTCCCAGAACTCTAGCCCGAGTTCTCAGAACTTGCAAATGATATCTTAAATGACTGCTCCAGAACTGCCCCGAAAGTTTCACATGAACTCATGATTCATAGCTGTGGACGCTTACCTGGTCCCCTGCTCCAATTTCCGTCTCTAGTCTGTCTACATGAACACCCTGTGCGATGTCAGGAGACTGCTGCTCCAGGGCCACCAGAACATTACACGTCTTATAGTCAAACCCTGAGAAATACAGCATGTTTCTGCCTTAACATCACAATGCAAAGAATAATTATGTACATTTACACTGAAAACACTAAAATACACACTTAAAAAGATGCTTCTTCGAGGATTCTTTAGTAAAAAAATGAACACTCAAAGGACCCCTTGCATTATTAAAGGTTCTTTGCATCATGAAATGGTTTCAGATTGATGAAGAATGTACTGTAGCTGGTTCTATGTAGAACCTTTGGGTTTCATGAAGTACAAAAAAAACATTCTTCTGTTGTTATAAGCCTGCAGAGGTGGGAACAAGTCACTAAGTTGCAAGTAACAAGTAAGTCTCAAGTCTTGACACACACACATGAGTCAAGTCCCAAGTCAAGATAGTCGAGTCTCGATTCAAGTCCGAGTCAGTGAAGGCGAGTCTCGAGTTGAGTCCCAAGTCAATAGTCCTAATCTTTGAGTCCTAAACAAGTCAGTCTGCATTCTTCACTAATTTAAGGCCACAACACTGAATAATGGTCACAGTACTGTAGCCTGTTATTGACAGCACGTTAGCAGTGTATGGCTGTATATTGTTGTTGTTGTTGTTGTTATTATTATTGTTATTATTACCCTCCTAAATAAATACAAAATCCATGGTACACAGACAGGTGTACTGGTATACACAAAGTGTAGTGAACTACATATGAAAAGAATTTTAAAAGTACTACTGAACTTAATTTAAAAAAAAAAAAAACTTCACCAAATTCTTATTTCAATTTTCCGTTCCGTGGCTCCTATTTGCTGCACCATTTAAGGTGGAATGACAAATTCTAATATGAAGCTGGTGAATGTAAAGTCAACTTCAGCCTTGTGGTGAATGTTGTTCTTCTTTTACCTGCAGAAGCTGTTATAATCGGTCGAACAGAGACGCTGTGATTCTTTTGTTTAAATACCATGAGGAACACGGTCAGTTCGCCTGGTGAATTTCTCCAGTAAGACTGGAGTTTAAGTGCTGAGGGAGCATTGATGCTGTTGATGCTTCGCTTATTTCCAGCTTACAGAGGCGAACTTGAACTCTAAGTGCTTCTCTTATCTTCCAAAATAAAATAAACTGAGCATAAACACAGTGAGAGACACCTGATGACGCTGCTGTTCATTCAGTTTACGGCAGGAAATGAATCCATTCACAGGAAAAATCTGCAGTCAGACTCTCCATTTCTTCCACTTCGAGTCTCACGTCTTTCTGAGTCATTACACTCAAGTCCAAGTCAGAGTCCGAGTCACTGGTGTTTAAGTCAAAGTCAAATCCCAAATTTGTGACTTGAGTCGGACTTGAGTTCAAGTTATATGACTCAAGTCCCCACCTCTGCAAGCTTGGCATGAGTGTTCATCTTTCTATGTATAACCATTTTCTTTACTAAATGACCCTTGAAGAACCATCTTTAGTGTAGTCTAGTCTACTGTATACCTTTCTGAGGTAAGCTGAGTGCATTATAATAAAGAGAATACTCATTTTCTCAGTGCTACAGAGTCCACTAGGACTTTTATTGCCAAAGCTAAAAATAAAGAATTACATCACAAAAAATGAGAGCAGTAAGACGAAACTGTGGAGCTCATAATGACGTAAAGAGGAGTAACATGTAACACAGCATCAATTGCTTTACAGGTGTTAACCCACAATACGCACCTTTGTTTGAGTCGTCATATCCAATGTGTCGAATGGTGTCCCTTACAATCTTCTGGTAGTCCACATTAGCACGAGACGTGATCTCTCCACAAAGCAGGACCATGCCTGTCTTACACACTGTCTCTGTGACACACGCACATGTTCACTTTGCTTAGATCAGGGGTCACCAGTGTTACCCACAGAGGTGGCGGAGTGGCTGCAGGGTTTCATTCTAATGAAGCAGAAACACCTCATAGAATAATCTGTTGTTTAAAGAGGCCACCTGATTAAATTAGTAGAAAAAAGTTTCTTCTGCTCATTTGGAATGAAAACCTACAACCATATCAGCCCTTTATGGAAACGGTTGGTGACCCCTGCCTTGCAGACTAGGGGAAATTCATTTAAGAAGGTATGTAGTATGTAACAAAGGTGAACTGTGACTATCAGAGCCTAAATCTGAGCCATTAGTGTCAAAAACCCACCTCTACTATAATGTTAGTCTCTGCTAGCTCCCCTGTGGGATTTCCAGTAGTATGTTAGTGCTAAGCTAAAACTGGTGCAGCACTTGTTGGTCGTTCAAAATTAAAAACAGAAATTTAATACAATTGATGGGTTTGAGCCTTGACCCCTTCTATACTTTCTGACCACATGGGACTCTGGGGACTTTTATGCGCATTGTATGGGTCTGCCCGAAAGTTTACGCTTTTTATGAGGAGGTTGTTGAATTTATCTCTTCTCTGACCAAGATATACTTCCCCATGGACCCTGAACTCCATTTACTTAATGATTACTCTAAATTCCCCACGTCTAAATTCCCAAATTCCATGTCCATACGGCCCTGGCTCCATACTTCATTGGATGTCTTCCATCTGTAACTGTCATCTGCGAGAATTAGCAATGCTTCATACATGGATTCATGGAATATCTAAAGTCAGGACCCTTATGCTAACTTAACTATATGATGTGTTTAAGTTGTGAATGATGTAACTCAATTTTCATGTGTCCTGTGTTGTATCTATGATTGGTTCTTGTTTGTGAGTCCCATGTGTGTGGGGGTCGGGGCGGGAATGGGGTTTTTTTATTAATGGGACATTTACAGCTTTTAAAAGACATTTCATATTTTTTTATCTAAATCTTGTAACAGACATTAACATTTATTTAAGCTTGTATGTATTAGTTTTACAGTAACTCTTTCACTAAAGAGTCTTGGCATTGAGCTGCTGCCGCTGTTTTACATTCCTACCAACTAACTAAAAGCTACACTGACCAGGCATAACATTATGACTGTAGCCCATCTGTTTCTCTGATACTTTGTTAGCCCCCTTTTACCCTGTTCTTCAGTGGTCAGGACCCCCATGGACCCTCACAGAGCAGGTACTATTTGGGTGGAGGATCATTCTCAGCACTGCAGTAACACTGACGTGGTGGTGGTGTGTTAGTGTGTGTTGCACTGGTCTGAGTGGATCAGAGTTTTTAAACACTGTGTCCACTCACTATCCACTCTATTAGACACTCCTACCTTGTCAGTCCACCTTGTGGATGTAAAGTCAGAGACGACAGCTCATCTGCTGCTGCACAGTTTGTGTTGGTCATCCTCCAGTCCTTCATCAGTGGTCACAGGACGCTGCCCACAGGACGCTGTTGGCTGGATATTTTTGGTTGGTGGACTATTCTCAGTCCAGCAGTGACACTGAGGTGTGTCTGATCCACTCGTACCAGCGCAACACACACTAACACACCACCACAACATCAGTGTTACTGTAAGTATGCAGAGAAACAGATGGACTACAGTCTGTAACTGTAGAACTACAAAGTCCACCTATATAGTAAGTGGAGCTGATAAAATGGACAGTGAGTGTAGAAACAAGGACATAATGTTATGCCTGATCGGTGTAGTTAGACTATGGCTCATAATCACAGTCATTGATGTATCTCGAATTTCCAGGAGGACTAGAGCGACATCACCCACTGTAAATTAAAATGTGATTCATTGATCACTCTGTCACCTAATTATGATGGTAGTTAGTCTCGGGTGTTTTTAGTGTTTGTTTAGTGGTTTACCGTTTTCCTGCTCTAGTTATAAACATTTTAGTGTCTGTTTGTGGGTCATCAGTGTTGTGTCAGTTACCGCAGGCCACTTTAGCATCTGGATCCTGCCTCAGGTGAGCGTCCAGCACCGCATCACTGATCTGATCACAAATCTTATCTGAAAAACAACAAAACAAATTCGAATTTTAAAGTTGCAGTTTGGCAAAAAAAAGTACAATATACCCAAAAATGAAGTCAACAGCCAAGACATGTTTGGTGTCTGAAGTTTGCTTCTTTGGTTTTGCACTGGAGCTGCAAGGCTAATGAAGCTAACAAGTAATATATATTTATGTACACCAATTAGCATTGTGCAATCTGCATGGAAAAAATCATCACTTTTTTAAATGGTTCAAAACAGTTTCAACCCATATGGTATACCTTTTATTAATTGTGGGTTCTGTCACGTTCAGATTATTTTTATTCTATTTTATTTGACTTACTAGACCAAAAAAGTGGGTTATGAGCAAATTTATGGGATTTACGTGATCATGCGCAGGTTGTACATGGACAAAACAGATCACCTGACATGAGAAGCAGCCCAAAACATCAGAGCTTCACTTGCCAGAATCTGTGTTGTGCTGTAATAATCATACTGTTGTTCGAGTACTTGGAGTAAAATGCCTCATCTGAATTAGTATGAGTACCAGCGGAACATGTGGCAGAACAGAACATTAGAAATGTGCTCGACAGGTATCAGTAAATTGAAGCAGTTTGGAATTTAAAGGTTACTGTCTCTGGAGGTTGACACCTATACAAATGACCAATAACAGCTTGTAGACACCTGCTGATCCAGTGTTTCTTCTGAAATGAAGGGAATTAAAGGGAAGTTCCACCAGTGGTTGAGATATAAACAAAGTCATTCAGAGTAGATTTACAGTGGTGGTGATAGGAACCAGGGGTCGCCATGTCTACAACATGAATATAGACATTTTATTTACTATCCAGAACCACCAGAGAACCTACACGAGTCTTCTGAGTTCTCTGTGGAGTATTGATGATGATAAAATTGTGATAAATCTTTGATATGGCACTATATTGCTTTGTAACACCCGTCATGAACTCCTCTCTTGAGGCCATTCATGTTTGTTTATAACCATTTCATGTACATTTCTGTATTGTAGCTTTCAGAGACACTAAACTCTTCAGACGTCTGGTTCCTATCACCACTACTGTGAACAATTCTGACTTACGTGTCTCTAGAATGGAACATTTCGTACCAAACCACTCTAAGTGACTTTGTTTACATTCTAATGACTTAATTATGAACAGATTTTAAATTTAAATCAGTGGAATACCTTTTTAACAGTGAGTGCGTTTACATGCACTTGAGAGTCTCATAACTGCAGATTTTGTCAGTAGTCTGATCAACGCGTTTACATGCACTTGAGTAATCAGATAATATGGAAACTCCGGGTCTACAGGAGTCAGGCAGTAATCAGATTTGTGCTTCACAGCCATCATATACATACATCATCTAGAAGAATATTTAATTCCTTCATTTCGTCAAGCGTGTATTTGGTTTCAGCGTTTCAAAAGTGTTTTGCTGCATCTCACGCCGGCGCTGCTCACTTATTTCTGGTGGTCTGGTTTCGCACATGCTCAGACTGAGAAATCCGAAAGAAATCAGAGTAAGAGTTTACAGCACTGAGAAATCTGATTACTGAGCTAATATCCTGCCTCTTTATCAGATTTCTTAATCGGATTTATAGAGCTTACTTGGATCTAAGTAATCAGTGAGTGCTGTTTACATGACCGTTTGAATAATCAGATCACTGCAGAAATCTGATTATGATCGGATTATTGAGTGCATGTAAACACACTCAATGCATCCCCCCCACCCCTTGCTATAGTTACAGTCTCTACTCTTCTGAGAAGGCTTTACACTAGATGTTGGCGCATTGCTTTGAGGATTTGATTGCATTCTGCCTGCATATTTCAGTCTTATTAGACTTGTAGCTGAGATCAGTCTTATCAAGCTCGCGTTTGACTGCAGAGTGTCCTCAGTGCAGTGTGCTGCACTATCGTCGGTGTTGCCCTACCATGCAGAGTAAGGGATCTTTCCTGGTGTGACCTTTGCTTGTTGGAATTGCACACAGTCTGAAATATCAGATTATCTGCTACCCTTTGGGACATTCCTTGTGGCCCTTATCAGATGATCCTGTCCCGGGTTGCACTCGTGCAGGGAGTACATACCTCCCTGTATAACAAGTGTAAAATTACACTTATATAATAAGTGTAAAATAAGCTCTTACAGTAGCACGTAGTACACATGGCCTTGCTGGTTGATACAGACATTGTAGGCATGGTATGTCAACATTATTAAATTGGCTTGACATGCAGGAATAGTTTGCTTGTGTTTTTGGGATCGATTGCATATTTCATACACAGTTTGATCGCAGTTTTCATACACGGTTTGCTCAAACAGTTTTTTCCATCTTCGGAAATTAATGTTGAGAAAATTTATATCTGACTGCCACAAATGAGAGGACATCTCTCATAGACATTACATAAAGACTGCCATGCATACTATCATACGTATAAACACACCTATTAGCAACCACCTGGGATACCATAGCAATGCCATAGCAACACTTTAGCGACTACCTGAGATACCCTAGCAATGGCCTAGCAACATCTTAGCAACCACCGTGGACAACATTGCGATGGCCTAGTAACAAATTAGCAACCACCTGGGATGCCACAGGAAAGACTTAGCAACACCTTAGCAACCACTGGGGAAACCATACCATGGGCTTAGCAACCACTTAGCAACACTTTAGCAACCACTGGGGATAACATAGCAACAGCCTAGCAACACTTTAGCAACCACCTGGGATACCATACCAAGGGCCTAGCAACACCTTAGCAACCACTGGGATATCATACCAAGGGCCGAGCAACACCTTAGCAACCACCTGGGATACCATACCAAGGACATAGCAACACTTTAGCAACCACCTGGGATACCATACCAAGGGCCTAGCAACACTTTAGCAACCATTGGGATACCATACCAAGGGCCTAGCAACACTTTAGCAACCACTGGGATACCATACCAAGGGCCTAGCAACACCTTAGCAACCACCTGGGATACCACACCAAGGGCCTAGCAACACTTTAGCAACCACCTGGGATACCACACCAAGGGCCTAGCAACACTTTAGCAACCACTGGGATACCACACCAAGGGCCTAGCAACACCTTAACAACCACCTGGGATACCATACCAAGGGCCTAGTGACACCTTAGCACCCACCTGGGATACAATATCATACCAAGGGCCTAGCAACACTTTAGCAACCACTGGGATACCACACCAAGGGCCTAGCAACACTTTAGCAACCACTGGGATACCACACCAAGGGCCTAGCAACACTTTAGCAACCACTGGGATACCATACCAAGGGCCGAGCAACACCTTAGCAACCACCTGGGATACAATATCATACCAAGGGCCTAGCAACACTTTAGCAACCACCTGGGATACCACACCAAGGGCCTAGCAACACTTTAGCAACCACTGGGATACCACACCAAGGGCCTAGCAACACCTTAGCAACCATCTGAGATACCATACCAAGGGCCTAGCAACACCTTAGCAACCACCTGAGATACCACACCAAGGGCCTAGCAACACCTTAACAACCACCTGGGATACCATACCAAGGGCCTAGCAACACCTTAGCAACCACCTGGCGATAACATAGCAACATTTTACCTTGAAGACCTTGTTTCTATTTGTTGAATGTATAAAACACAACCTTGGAAAACGACCCTCCCCCTTTCCACCCACTTTAAATTAATGTGATATCACTGAAGATCTCTCCTATCAATACTTTGATTCCATCTGTATATGAACAACCATCTGGGATACCATAGCGATGCCATAGCAACACTTTAGCAACTACCTGAGATACCACAGCAATGGCATAGCGACATCTTAGCAACCACCATGGATAACATAGCAAAGTGTGAGAGAGAGAGAGACAACCCGGTTAATGAACAATTTCTACCCACAGGCTGTCAGGCTTCTGAACAAGCTGTGAAGCTGTGGGTTCTTCCCCAGTTACCATTTCACTCAGTCACTTTGTCAGTATTATTATTATATCATATCACTGCTATGGACAACAACACTAGATCAGAGTCTGAAAGAGGACGTGACTGACCCCGCTGCTAAGTGACCACAGGAGAGCTAATAAACTGGTTTGATTCAGAATCTGAGCTTGAAATATTTGTAATTGTCCTCAAATCAAATCAGCTCATTGGCTGAATGAAGCGCTTTGCACTCAGTGACATCATGAACGTATATGAGGCATTATAAAGTTTATTACTGGAGTTCAAAAGTGTTACCTATTGGTAGCTAGCGAAGATTCTTTCTCTGGATAGACAAAGCACTTTTTGTAAGTCGCTCTGGATAAGAGCGTCTGCTAAATGATGTAAACGTAAATGTAAACTAAGTCACTTTAAATAACAATAACACTGAGTCACTTAAGTCACTTTAAAATGTATATACTCTTCACAGATTATCCCTTGTTTAATATAAATATATTTGTACATAGCAGGTTTTATTTATTTATTTATTTATTTTTTACATAGATCCCTCCTGTCTCTATATTTTGTGTACATTTAATATATTTCAGTATTAATATTTTCTTGTATTTTTATTTTTACTTATTTACTTTCTGTAGAGTGACTATCTGAGCCTCACCACAAGCATTTCAATGCATGAATGTCCTGGCATGTTGTGCAAATGACAAATTACCTTGAAACTTGAAACTTGATACAGAGAGCAGCACTGAGTAGCTCGTTACAGTGCTGTGACTTTTGCCAGAAACCACAAAATAGATCAGAGTCTGAAAGAGGACGTGACTGACCCCGATGCTAAGTGACCACAGGAGAGCTAATAAACTGGTTTGATTCAGAATCTGAGCTTGAAATATTTGTGTGTGTCCTCAAATCAAATCAGCTTATTGGCTGAATGAAGCACTTTGCACTCAGTGACGTCATGAACGTATATGAGGCATTATAAAGTCTATTACTGGAGTTCAAAAGTGCTCAAAAATACAACAGCAGAATACGGCGGCGGTGTAAAGGTGTTTCATGCTGTTCTGTGTTCAGGAAATGCATTCATTCTACTATATAACAATGTTTAAGCATTTACAAACTATTGGCCTCATTCACCATCTGTTCTTAAGAAGAAATTTCTTCCCACTTTACACAGTTTTCACAAAGGTTCTGTCACTCACTCGAGTTCTCTTACACGGGATTTGTTTCTTATGTAAAAACCCTCAACACGTTACTGAATGGCGGTTCTCCTCACTGCACACTCTTTGCACATTTTTTTGGTATCAGTCAGCAACCACTGACGTTATGACAAGTTTTTAGCTACAAAAAGATTTTAAAAATAAAATAAAAATTAGGCCTTATTTACAACCCCATTTCCAAAAAAGGTGTATGCTGTGAAAAATGTAAAGAAAAACAAAATGCAGTGATGTTCAAATCATTTAAACTGTATATTTAATTGAAAATAGTATAAAGACAAGATATCAAAAGATGAAACTGAGAAATTTCATTGTTTTTTGAAAAATATTTGCCCATTTTTTAATTTGATGCCAACAACACGTTCCAACAAAAGGCTGGTAAAGTTGTGCAGTGCTAAAAAAAAAAAATAAAAAAATCAATTAGTGGTTGATTGGTAACAGGTTAGCAACATGTTTGGGTATAAAAGAGCATCTCAGAGAGGCGGAGTCTTTCAGAGGTAAAGATGAGGAGGGGTTCACCACTCTGTGAAAGACTGCACCATCAAATAGTGCAACAATTCAAGAATAACGTTTCTCAACATAAAATAGAAAAGAACGTTTGCTTTTCATCATCTACGGTACATAATAACATTAAAAGACTCAGAGAATCTGGAGAAATCTCTGTATGTAAGGGACGAGGCCAAAAACCAGTATTTGCTGGCCGTGATCTTTGGGCCCTCAGGCAGCACTGCATTATAAACAGACATGATTCTGTAGTGGAAATCACTGCATGGGCTCAGAAACACTTCTGAAAACCACTGTCTGTGAAAACAGTTCATCACTGCATCCACAAATGCAAGTTAAAACTCTAAAACACAAAGAAGAAACCAATTTTAAACAGGATCCAGAAACGCCGCCACCTTCTCTGGGCCTGAGCTCATTTAAAATGGACTGAGGGGAAGTGGAAAAGTGTCCTGTGGTCCGACGAATCAACATTTGAAAATATTTTTGGAAATCATGGACGCTGTGTCCTCCGGGCTAAAGACAACTCAGCTGGTTATCAGTGCACAGTTCAAAAGCCAGTATTCATGATGGTATAGGGGGCATTAGTGCACATGGCATGGGTGATGTGCACATCTGTGAAGGCACCATTAATGCTGAATAATATATACAGGTTTTGGCAACATATGCTGCCATCAAGACGACGTCTTTTTCAGGGAAGGCCTTGATTATTTCAGCAAGAAAATGTCAAACCACATTCTGCATGTATTACAGCAGCATTGCTCTGTATTAAACTACAGCAGTGTCTCCTCAGTTCCCAAACGCTTACAGAGTGTTGTTAAAGAAGAGGTGATGAAACTCAGTGGTAAACAGGCCCCCGTCCCAACTTTTTTGGAACGTTTTGTTGGCATCAAATTCAAAATGGGCTTATATTTTTCAAAAAACAATCAAATTTCTCAGTTTCAACATTTGATTTGTTGTCTTTGTAGTATTTTCAATGAAATATAGGGTTTAAATGATTTGCACATCATTGCATTCCATTTTTATTTACATTCTGTACAGCGTCCCAACTTTTTTTGGAAATGGGGTTGTAAAATATATAATACACATAGACTGTTATTACAGAGTGAAGATACATACACTATGGTTTTGTGGCAAATCATGGTCAATATTGATGGCTATCAGTATTGAGTTTTCCCTGGTTGCTGCTTATCTAGATAACTTTAGGGTTGCAAGGTAAGTAGAGGCTATAGAGCAGTAATGCTATTTTCCTGAAGATCCAGACTTTTTAGTCTAAAAGTGAATGTTAAGAAACTTCACAGGTAGCCAGTGTGAATGAATGTGTTGCTGTTTTGAAGTCAGCTATCCACTGTAATAAACGTGTAGTATCCTGTAGCAAACTATAAGATGTTGTATACAAATCCTGTAGAAATTCATGTAGTATTACTGTTATTCTTTTTCAGTATATATTTTTTTAAAAAGATATATCCATACAGAATTAATGTTCTCCGCTAAGCGTGTTGAGCTCCAAAGAAGTTTCATTATCAGCAGTTTGTAAAGACGCGGCGGAGCTTCACGTGTCTCAGAGGAAGCTCATGCTAGTCTTCAACCTCCCAGCTTGCTAGCATCATGTAATGGTAAAGACAGGCCCAATCCCATTTCTTCTCTTTTTTATTTTCACCCCTACCCCTTGTTTTCGAGTGTCTCCTTACCCCTTGGAACTGAGTTATAAGTTGTAGTGGTTGAAATCTTCCCTCTGAAATGGGACCCTCAAATAAAGAGCATTACTTCATTAACAGCTACCAGCGCTGCTCTGTAGGCGACCCTGCCAGTCTGCAGTGACAGCAGAGGAGGGTAAAGTTCAGCTCCTCACTGCTGGGCTTTAGTTACATTTAGGGATCATATGCCTTCAAAGAGGGGGGCAATTATTTATTATCACCCACCCCTAATTCTTCAGTGATATGGAGCTGAAGTCAGATATTCACCAGGTTCTTGTTTGAATTTTCCCATTCCACCTTAAATGGTTTCATTCTAGTGCCTCAAGCATCAGTAATGCTGGATTATTTAACAGAATTAACAACCACTTAACAGAAATAAGCCCTGAACAAAAAACATATTCTGTTAATTCTGTTAAGTGTAAATAAGTGAAACACTTCCTCTAGAGAGACACACTTCTGCACATTTTAATACACAATCACTGTTTATTTGCTATTAAAATAAACAGAAATTTGCAGAAAAATACCACATTTAAGTCTGTCTCTGTAGAGGATGTTTTCACTGATTTACCCTTAGAAAATCAACAATATGTAATTTAACCACAGGTGTTCAAACTTTTGCATGCAACTATTTATGTATACATATATTTGATAGATAGATAGATAGATAGATAGATAGATAGATAGATAGATGGAAATACTCACGTTCCATTATCTTTCATTCGGAGTTCATTCAGAATGTTTTTGTCACAACAGCAATGATTTAAGCAGTAGAACACAGAGGTGAAATAACATCACGGCTGTGATTTGGTCGCCGTAGATCATCACAGCCGTGATGTTATTGGCGATAACACACTCCTCGAGTGTTCTACTGCTTTAATACAACAGTTAAATAAATACAGTAATAAATTAATAAACTGGGCCGTGAACGCGGCGTTTAATATGTTTTAATGTTCGCAGTTCCTTCACCAAATTATAGTTCCTTAACGAGCAGCTTGTTGCTACGTCAGAGTAACGAGCTCCGCCCACTCGCTGCACAGCCGGCAGTTCGTTCTCCAGCTCCACACAGACCAACTGACAGTTTGGCAATTTAGTGTCGTCTCATCTTCAGAGTCTGACCAAATCGGCTGTCAGTCAGATGTGATCTTAAAAGTATCTGTTTTCTGTTTGACAGCTGTCAAAGTCGTTGCTTAAAAACGGCGTCTCAGCGGAGTGATACAGCGTTTGTGAAAAACCCGTGATGTTATGGTGAAATAACAGCACAGTTAGAACGCCTCTCAACCAATCAGCTTGCATGGCCGTAACTAACTGTTGTGTGTGTGTGTGTGTGTGTGTGTGTGTGTGTGTGTGTGTGTGTGTATATATATATATATATATATATATATATATATATGCTTCATGAAGAGCATTCATTCAGTTAGTTGGCTTCCAAAAATTCTGCATAACTTAAGTCCAAACTGTAAAACATAGAGCAGAAATGCACTGCAACACATTCACTAATTGAGCGGTGTATATTCCCCGTGTCTGTATACTGAGAAGTTACAGTACATACAGTGATAATATGCTTTCTATGGCATTTTGGCGAAATATGTTGTCAGTATATTACGAAATATAGAGTATTTTGTGCATATGTTTGTGTCTTTTTTTGGCATTCATTACAATAAAAATCCTGTTTAGGTATCAACTGTTATCCAGAAAACTTTGAAAGCTACTTTGGCAAGGCTTTGGTTTACTGCTTTATAAGGGTCACTCATGCATTTTGAATGTATTTTTCTACTCTACAGCACTGAAAGGAGCTTTAAGTGGTTTAAACCTGACCTGGATGCCCCTCTCCCACCGACTCGGACGTGAACATGAAGTCTCCATCTCCGTCGATGCAATCTTCATCATAGCACGAACCGTTCTCCAGGCTTCCGTTCATTTTCTCTCCTTTAGGAAGGGTCTAAAAAGGGCCTCAAAGGGAAAACAACGAGCACAGCTGGTGGAGCCGAGAAGCGAGCTGGCTGCACCTGAGAGAGAGGAAGAGAAAGAGACAGACAGAGAGAGAGACAGAGAGAGAGGGAGGAGAGGAGCTAAGTAAATAAGAAGGTTGAATGAGTTCATGAGTGGGTGAGGAAGCGAGAGAGAGAGAGAGAGAGAGAGAGAGAGAGGGAGTGTCACGTTGGACGGCCAGAGAAGCTCACAAATCAAAACACTCCAAATGTAACGTAAAGATAGTTCACAGACTCCCACTCTGAGTAAAAGGAGGGGAAGCTTGCTGGTCAGACGGAAAGACTGCTGGATTAACCAGTTCTGGAGGAGCGTTTGAACTCTTTGTGCTTTCATTATGAACCTCTCACTGAGCAATCAGCATGCTGACCATCACTGATACACACAGAAGTTAGTTTTTATACAGTGTCAGGACTTACTTGTATATACTCTGCAAAAGTCAGATGCCCTTCATATATTTAACTTCCACTCAAAACAACCGTTACGTACACATTGTTCAGTTTTCAGGAGATCAGACATAAAATAATCCACTTACATCACTAAGAAAAACTAAATAAAAGCTACAGAGAAAACGGGGCTCCTAACAACCACCTGGAAGAGCTGGTCGACCCCAAAACTGCCCCCATCAGATAAACAGCACTTAAAGCTTTCATCTCTGAGAGAGAGGAGAAAATCAAGCTGCTTCAGATCTGAAAACTACGGACGTCCAGAAAGGCCATGAGCAGTCGCAATAATTTTCTGGATTGTTATGTTGAGATAACAAGATCAGTAGCTCGTTATTTCAAGATAACAATTTTGTTATCTTGAGATAACAAGATAAGTAACTCATTATTTCAAGATAACAATTTTGTTATCTTAAGATAACAAGATAAATAACTTGTTATCTAAAAATTATAACTACCTCACTGCCTCTCTGGACTTCCGCAAAAAACATCCACAGGTGTTTCTGTCCATCCTTCCACTGTGAGAAGATGACTCAGCGCTGTGGGTCTGAAAGGATGTGTAGCTGATCAAGAAGAACCTCACTGAGAAAAGGAGACGGACACATCAAACAAAGAAGCTGAACAATGGACTGACCACCCCAGAGTCCAGACCTCAACACCACTGAATGTGTTTGATCACTTCAGAAAATTATCAACCAGCTTCTAAGACTGAACTTTGGAGGTGTGTCTGCAGATTCTTTGAGGAACTGAAAGTGAGTCTCCTGAAAAGAATGGAAGCTGGAATAAAGGTGAAGAGCGACACGCTCAACGCTAAACATTCACACAGCTGAGATTAGATTTAGCTGTTGAGGCTTCTGTATAATTAAGCTTAAATATATGTTTTCTGCTACAAATATGCTTCATATAATAATATGTCCTTTATCTAGCACCTAATTAAAGTTCGGTGACACTTGAGCCCAGTGACATCACATTAACATAGCCATGCAATGAACATGTCATGAGTTGTCACAACAAATTATGTCCAGTAACAGGTTACATTACAGTGTCTTGTTACTACTACTATTAATTGTCATGACAGATTATATCCAGCAATATAACACCTTCTGTCTCACTCTTTTTCGTTCTCTCTTTCCCCCTTTCACTCTCAGGACCACAACTGAAAGCCAGAGAGCTCAGTTACATTGAAATGGCCTGTGTACTGTGGTCAGCTTTCTCTCACATGCTTTTGGTAGTTAAGCTTGCTAATTGATTTAACGACTCATAATTAACATTGTTAGGAGTGTTACTTGTCTAACATACTCAGCTTTTCCATTATACTGTTAATTGCTTCACTGGTCTCTTCACAAAGCTGCTGAAAATGAATGGTATTCTGCGTCCTGGGATCAATTACGCGGTTAAATTGGTGTTTCAGAGACTAATTGTGTTCTTATGAATAGTGTCAGTGCTGGTGAATCAGTGATACGGTATTAATTTATGAATAACTGCATAGCTCAGTTAACCCTTTCACTCTCATTACTACAGAACATACAGAATTAGTTTCACAGCAGATACTGAATAATTAATAATATATTCAGAATGCTTCATAGCATAAACTGAACTATTCGTAGTATTTGCAGAAGAATTGATACTAAATACTAAATAATTCAAAGTAGATATTGAATAATTCATAGTATTTACTGAATAATGCACAGTATTTACTGAACAATGCATAGTACTAACTAAATAATTCATAGTAGTTACTAAGTAAATTATAGTAGTTACTGAATAATTCATAGTAGTTGCTGAATAATGTATAGTACTAACTAAATAATTAATAGTAGATAATAAATAATTTATAGTAGTTACTGAATAGTTCATAGCAGATACTAAATAATGTCTAACAGTTACTAAATAAATCCTAATAGATACTGAATAATTCATAGTAGATGTTAAATAATTCTTAATAGATACTGAATAATTTATAGCAGTTACTGAATAATTCATAGTAGATACGAAATAATTTCATAGTAGTTACTGAGCAATTCATAATAGATGCTGAAAAATAATAGATACTGAATAATTCATAGTAGATACTGAATAATTTATAGTAGATACTGAATAATTCATAGTCGATACTGAATAATTTATAGTAGATACTGAATAATTCATAGTCGATACTGAATAATTTATAGTCGATACTGAATAATTCATACTTTACTGAATAATTCATAGTAGATACCGAGTAATTCCTTGTAGACACTGAATAATTCCTAGTAGATACTGAATAGTTTCTAGTAGACACTGAATAATTCATGGCATTTACTGAAAAATTCATAGTAGATACTAAATAATTTATAGTAGATACTGAATAATTCATAGTAGATACTGAATAGTTTCTAGTAGACACTGAATAATTCATGGCATTTACTGAAAAATTCATAGTAGATACTGGATAATTTATAGTAGATACTGAATCATATGTAGTAGATACTGAATAATTCATAGTAGATACAGAATAATTTACGGTAAACACTGAATAATTCACAGTAGTTACTGAATAATTCATAGCAGATACTATATAATTTCTAGTAGTGACTGACTAATTCTTGGCATTTACTGAATAATTCATAGTAGATACTGCATTATTTATAGTAGACACTGAACAATTCATAGTAGATACAGAATAATTTGTAGTAGGTACTGAATAATTCATAGTAGAAACTGAATAATTTATGGTTAACACTGAATAATTCATAGCAGATACTATATAATTTATACTAGTTACTGAATAATTCATAATAGCTACTGAATAATTCGTAGTAGATAATAATTTGTGTAGATATTGAGCAGTTTATAGTAGATAATGAATAATACACAGCATTTGGTGAATAATTTATAGTAGATGCTGAACAAATCATAGTAGTTTTTGAATAACAAATTTTAAAACTCTTTTTAAATATTTGAAAAATATTTTTAATACTTTTTAATAACTAATTTTGTAGTAAGCCTGCAGTTTAAGTGGGTTTATTGGTCTCACCTGTGATGTCAGATGTTGTGGATGTGTGTTTTAACTGTGGGAGGTTTATGTATGTGTGATAAATAAATGCTGTGTCCTTATTTGGCTGTAGAGCATGTGTGTGTTTGGTTGGTGCTGGGCGGAGGTCGGGAGCTGGGACTCTGGTTGGTGCAGATCTTCTCAGGTAGTGTTTCAGGGGTTTGGTTTCATTTCTCGTTGAGAGGCAGAAGCAGTGTGTGAGTGCGTGTGTGTGTGTGTGGGTGTGTGTGGGTGTGTGAGTGTGGGTGTGTGTGTTTGTGTGTGGGTGTGTGTACTGTGGCCATGCAGGGTGTGTACTCTGCATCTCTCCAATTACAAGCTGTTTTAACACCTCATTATTCACTTTATTTTTAACCCCTTTTTTAAATATATTTTTTATTTTTAATAATATTTTTTGTGAAAATGAAAATGTACAGTGGGATTTTGATGCAATTATGTTGGTAATATATTTTAAAGTATTTCCAGACTAAGTGGCCCTTATTCATCAAAGTTGCTTAAAAAGAGCTCAGATTTGACCACTTTTAATGACAAACTACTCTGCATCTGATTCATTAACTGGCCAGGACCCCCCAGCAGGCCCCAAGTTATATTATACACTTCTATAACCTAAGAATAGCTCAGCCAGTTTGCTCTGAAGTCCCTGTAGTTACTGATTAATAAGCCTTAGCATGTAATAAGACAGAGATTTTAAGGGGTTAAAGATTATTGTCTTCCCTGCCCAGTCTCAGTCCAGTCCAGTCCACCTGGATAGTGCTGTCCATCCATCACTGACCTGAATCAGAATCACTTTATTTCGCCAAGTATCTTACACATACAAGGGATCTGTCTTGGCAAGTCACACATGTTTGACATATAACACACTGAACAGACCAGACCACAACACAGACTGTTAACAAGTATTTAGCTAAAGAGACAAATTAAATAATAGACAGATCGATAGACAGATAGATCACTTTAATAATCCCAGAGGGAGAGTCGTCTATTACAGCATAAATGCATATAGTAAAGATATGTAATAAAATATAACAACCATAAAATATAATGTGCAGTATAAAAATAAGTAAATTGCATACATTTTATACAGGTGACAATGCAGTGGTTCATGTCACGTCCAGTGAGTGAATAAACAAGTGGCGTGAGTGTGAATGTCTGTATATGTGCAGATATGAACATCTATACATACGTAGGTCAGAGTAGACATATGATGTGAATTTGTACTGAAATTTACAGACTGATATGAACATTTATAAATAGGATAGTTCCGGTCCAAAAATCTGATTGGCTGAGCTGCATTCAAAGCCATTGAAAAACCCCCATACACCTATGACCGCCCCACAACAACTATCTATCTCAGACCAGACCACAACACAGACTGTTAACAAGTATTTAGCTAAAGGGGCAAATTAAATAATAGATAGATCGATAGACAGATAGATCACTTTAATAATCCCAGAGGGAAAGTCGTCTATTACAGCAGCACAAAGTGAAGTAAAGAGCAAAACAAGAGCCAAAGTATTGCCGTGCGCTATTATACAGATGGATAAATAGTAAATATATGTAATAAAATATAACAACCATAAAATATAATGTGCAGTACAAAAATAAGTAAGCAAAATCGCTTACATTTTATATT